TTTTCTTAATATTAAAATTAATATTAAGATATAATAGCTAGTAACAAATTAAGAAATATATTCAGGATTATGTATAGTACACTTACAAATAAACTTTTTATAAGCATACATATTAAAAACATATACCTACAATATTATATTTGTAATAATATATAAATAATTTGTAATAATATAATATTAATAACATTATTGAATTTTAGATCCTGAAAATGTTTTTATAAATTATAATTGAAAGAAATTATCAAAAACTCACTGTGCTTTAATTGTTCCAGAATTATAAGCTTCACGCCACATGTGTCCTTGTAATTGTTTCAATGCACCAGTCTTTCTATCACCATCCATTTGCCATAATATATTTTTTATAAGTGATTCTCTTTCTTCTTCTGCATTAGTGCCAGTAATTGGTACAAAACCATCAATTTTATCTTCTTCATCTTTCTTTGCCTATAATGAAAATATTAACAAATATTTATAAAGTCCCTTTTTATTAACAAAACTCCATAAAATTTATAAATAAATATTATTATAAACATCACATTACATTTTTTGGAACATTTTTAAGAGTTTATAAGCTCACAATTACGAAACAACCATCTTGATTTATAATATTCTTAAAAAATGTATAATTTATTTACAATATATAGATTGTTATATTATTTTATTTTTATTTTAAATTTCTTTTTGTTGTATTACTTATATTTAAATGATTTGAATATACATTATAATAAATTTATGTTATATGTCTTAAGCTTTAAATAACAATTCTTAAAATGTAAAAAGTGAAATATATTAAATGATATTATAAAAAATGAATTAAATAACAATAATAAATAAATGAACAATAAATCATAAATAAAATTATTATATACTTTATGTAATATACTATATTATATAGATTATATTATATTATATAGATTATATACTAAAAATTTATTAAAGTCTAATCTCAAGCTGCAGAAATATGTAATCTAGATATATTTTTGGGACAAAAAATATTCTCAAATCAAGTATAGTAGTTAAGCAGCTGCTTCTTACCTATTATGCTATTGGTCATTCTCTAAGGTACATTATTAAAAATTATAATTATGAACTTGTTGAATTATGATTTTAATAATAAAAAATAAAGAAAAAACATAAATAAAGTAGTATAGTAATAACTAACATAAACATAAATAAAGTAATATACTATACATATATATATATTTAACATAAACAATCAATATCATTCAGATATCATAATTCTTCTTTGTATTACCTTTAATATATTTTAATCTTTTAATATTAGTGCATTAATAGATAAAAAGATTATTTTTACATACAATATTTATGTTAAAATATACCACTGTTCCCAATGTTTACCTGTTCTTTCAATTTTTCATAATCTTGCTTGAATTCTTCATCTTCCCATTTAGTTTCGATATATTTCTTTAAATTCTCTCGCACGTAAGGAAAAAGCGTGTCCTGAAAGGAAAGTAAATGTGAATATAGTACATTCTCGCCGATCGAATTAACAGTGATGGTACGTCGTTACGGTTTTCGTTATTTTGAAAAATCACATATATAATGATCTTCGAGTAGCGATATTTTTTGTAATCGAGTAATTCACGCTACCTTACGAATACGACGAATTTTCTAAACGAATATTCAGATTGTTTTCACTTGCAACATTGTCGTGAAACAACAATTCGAGCAATTTCGCAAAAAAAAAGAAAAAAAAAAGAGAAAAAAACATTAACTCAAGTAAACAAATGTAAAAGTTCGAAATAAGAATGATTGCACGATCCGTACGACATTTCATTTGCTTCAGAGTCGGAAAGCATGGTACATATTGCCTTCCATGAAACCCGCTGTCTCACGAACAGGGAACCTGAAACTGGATTTCAGCCGGCATAGTAAATGCCGAGAGAACACACACACACAATACGCGCGAAAGCTTAATTCACAAATTTTCAATCCTTGCAATGACTCTACGATAACGTTCGGAAATTTGTCACCGAGAGGTTGCCCCTGCGGGAAATTCCGATCATTAGGTATTGTCAGAGAGTATGTCGGAAAACCGGTGAAATGCGAGAATCCGTAGGGCGCGTTCTGCCTCACGGCCATAGTCTTTGTTACCTTTACGAAGCTTATGCTCGTCGTGGTGCCTTCAATGTCAACCAGGATCACCGTTTCTGACAATAGGGTCTCTTCCTGATCTTGAGTACGCTTTTCCCCGGCCATTTTTACGATTGACTCGCCTTCGACCGCAGGATAAATAACAAATATATCACCTCAGTACGTTCGAGCACGGTGTATATGTCGACGCGTTCTTGTTGAGAGCCGGCGAGTGAATTCGCTCGTCGTTCTGCGCCGGTGTGTGTGCAAACCTGCCTCTCCCTTCGCCCCTACTTGTGCCGATCAACCAGGATCGTATTTATTTCGCTTGTCCTCGATTATCCTACCGCTGAACTCTCTATTGTTTTTTTTCGTAGAACGATCGCAATTTTCACAGCCATGCACGAACTTTTCCAATGCGTAGATCGTTTGGGCATTAAGACGATATTTTTTACAATTCTTGCTCTCATTATCATTGCGCTAGCTCTATGAAACAATCGTTCTATTTCTACAGCAGATTATGTTTCATCGTACGGTATTTAAATTTATTATGAAAGTATTACGCGAAAGTAGTTTATAAATGTATTATTTGTATTTACCGTAAGGCAACGGTAAAGTTGAATTTTGCGTGTTCTCGTTCAAATCAAAGACCAATTGATAGCAATGTTAGTTTTACTTAGATGAAAAATCATTATTACTACGTGGAAAGTTGTTTCCTTAAGAAATGAATATCTAAATACGCGATCTGGAACAACCGATCGCTAAAATAAAAAAGAATATTTTTTAACACGCAAAGGTGATCTCGTACGATAGATACGTTCCTGAATCTTGAACGAAAATTTTAGGTCAGTGTTAGTGAATATGTATTTGTGAAAAGAGCGTGTGTTACGTGTGTGTGAATCATTCGCTTCCTTCAGCCAATGAACGAGGTTGGTTTGCGTCTGTGCGATCGCAGCACGACATTATTGCTCCGCAAAAATTGTTTCGATGAATAATCGTTTAATAAATGCAGACTTTCAAAAACTTTTACATTGAAAGCTTTCTAAAATTTAAGTACACGCTTCTCAATTCATTTTTCAAGCAAAGTAAACTATGATTACAGTAAAAAACCAGGATAAATATTGACTCGCTCGAACGGTTTCCAATATTACTCCGCGTAAAAGTAGTTCCTCATGTGTTATTTTTGTTAATTTTCCAAAGATTTAAGAAAATTCGAACGATGCGTATAAGTAATACGAAATACTTTATACAATTCATTTATATGCTGATTTTCCTACATCATAAAATTCATAATTTCGTTATGCACGATCACAACTACAAAATCATACAGCTGGCAAATTCGACCACCTGATTTTTGCGAGACAGCGCCGCGTCGGACACGGAGGCGCAACCATTTAAATTTTGACATTTGTCTCAGTCGCACGTGTACCTTGACTGTGTATACATGTGAGAACTACGCGCACATTTTAATGTTGCGCATTTGTATGTATTTTTTTTTATTTATTTTATAAAAGATATTCGCGTTAATATTTTCGAAACTTTCGAATTCATATGTTTTATTACAAATGTATAAATATTGTAAAAAAATTGTAATAAATACAAATTTAATTTCCATAACATAAGAATATTAATTTTTATTCTCTTGTATTGTTTAATAAGGTTGATTAGAAGATATTATGTTACAAAAGAAAAAAAATATAAATATTTATTTCTTTTTTATTATAAAGTTTTCTTAATAGTTTACACAACAATTAGAAATAATTTCATATTATATGTACAATATGTTTAAAAAATGATAACTGAATGTATATGTATACGTATATGTATGTATAATAAATTACATAATTTCTTATTCTAAATATATTCAATACAATATAATTATACTATCATAAAATTGTATTTATTATTTGTAAAGCTATGTTATTATTATAAATATAAAATTCAATGCAACATAATACACAATGAAGATTATTTTGCAATGATTTTCCTAATATTATTATTCTTATAATTTTGTTCATATAAAGATCTTTTCATGTACACACAAATCATATTGTTTTGTTCAAGATTTATAGTACTTTCCATATAAATAAAAGGAAAATAAAAATCAATAAAAATTTCTTATATAATTTTAATGTTTCCAATTGCTTTAAAATCATGAAAAATGTTCATCTGACTTTTATTTTCAAATATAAAAATTTAATTTTTAATATTTTTATAGATAATTTCAGGTACTATATTTGTAACATATTATGGTATATATTATATTTTATAATTAATTATTTTATATGGAGGACTAATTTCAAAAAATATTATAATTATTTATGAAGCAAATCTACAAACCTATTTAACTACCATTTGAAATTATGAATATTGTAGTAAATATATTTTACAAAGAGAAGTAATAATATTAATTTTATATAAAGAAAAAATATTTCTTAAAAAAGATTTATTTTTATAAAATTGTGTAAGCTTTCATATAAAGAATAAAATTTTGTGTTAAAATAAATAATATAAGGAAAAGTTACTTTGATAAAATATTAACATATTATTTATTATTTAACAATTCGTGAAATAATAATTCAGTGGTCAAAATATACAAAGTAATATTTAATATAATTCAATGTGGCAAGTTAAAGTACGCTTTAATGTCTTTATTAAGTAAAATAATAATTAATGCTCTTCTAATTTCAAATTATATTTAACCCGGGATTACCCACCTGGGGGTCTAGCGCAGGTACATCCCGGCGACTAGACCCTCACGTGGGTAATCCCGGGTTAATTTGTGAAATGTCCAAAAATATATTATAGTAAAGAATTTAGATAATAATAATAAAATAGTTAAAATAAATGAATTTTTGTAAATAAATATAATACAATAAATATAATACAATAAATTGATATATTTTAGTTTAAACTAATTGCATAATTAAAGGAGCGCTGTATTTTTTTAAAGACAATATAATATATAAATTATATCTTCTCAGATTCTATATTTTGTAATTTTTTTAATTTTTCTCCCAAATGTTTATTTAAATGTATTCTAATTTCTTGTTGATTGTTACATTTTTCTCCACATTCTGGGCATTCAGGATCTCCTTCTCCATGTTCTCTTTTTCGATGTTTAGATCGATTATTGTAAGTAGAAAAGGACTCCCCACAATCCGGACATTGATAAGGTTGTTCACCAGTATGTTTTCTGCGATGATGATCTCGGGAATCTTTTCTTCTGAAACTCGTGTTACAATATTCACAGACAAATGGTTTTTTTCCAGTGTGTAATAATACATGATTATATAAAGATTTAGTGTCATTAAATCCTTTTTCACACTGTGCACATTTATAACGTCTTTCACCATTATGTTTACTTTTAATGTGATTTACTAAAAGTTGTTTTACTCTATATGTAGCATTGCATATGTCACACTGATAAATAGGATTTACTCTTCCCTCATGTATTCTCTCTTTATGTGCTTTTAAAGACATCTGATGTTTAAATTTCTCATGACATTCTGCACATTCGTACCATGGTTTTTGTTTTGTTAAAATTGGATCCTGATTATTTATTTCATGATCTTCTACCATATGATATTTTAACATGCGATATGTCGGAAAATCTTCTATACAAATTGGACATGTAAATAATTGTGGTAATGTCACACTTTTATCATTTTTCCAATGCTTTTCTAAATGTTCATTCATATTCTGCTTTTTACTAAATGATTTATTACATATATTACAAATATATCTATTATAAGAAAAATGAATTTTTCTGTGAAGTTTTAAAGCATTTGTAGTTCTACATCGTTGACCACAGATATCACATTGATACGGCCTTTCTCCTGTATGAATTCGATGATGTTCTTTTAATCTAGCTTTCAACTGAAATGACTTGCCACATAATTCACAAATGTGAGGTCTTGCTCCTTTATGAACAAAAAGATAATGTTCATATAAAGAATTTTCTGCTCTAAATTCTTTTCCACAAGTGCTACAGATAAATTCATTCATATTTTCATTATGTCTCATTTCATGAAATTCTAATCTTTCTTTTCTTACGAAATGTTTAGGACATTTAGAACAATGATATTGACGCGGCGAAATGACTTTTGTCTCATTTCCATCTATCATCAAAGAAAGTGTAGAATCTTCACAAGTAACACATGTAACTAAGTCATTAATAGCATCCGGATCTAAATCTGAGATCAATTTGCCACAAAGATTACAATTTATAGATACTTTTTCCTGTTTTGTTGTTGCTATAGCTTTTTGTATGATATCTTCACTGATAGTATCTTCACTAGTACCAACTTGTATTTGTTTCACACCAGAATGTTTATAATTTTTTTGATGCCCATTTAGTCTAGATCGTTTTGTAAATAATTTGCCACATTCTATACAAATATAACGTTTTAAACTTTTGTGTGTGTGGAAATAATGATCCCATAATAAATTTTCATTACTTGTTTCTTTATCACATAGAGTACATTCATATTTATCTATTTTACCTAATTTATGCCTTTCCATGTGAAATTCATATTTTAAATGTGAAAGATAACGGGTTCCACATAATCTACATACATACTTTAAACAAGATTTATATATATCATTTTCATCTTGTATATCATCTTTTTCAAACATGGCTTGCGATTTAGTTACACATGTATCTTTCTCACTTTTGTAGTCAGTCTCACTATCTATCCAATAAGTATTATCACTTTCAGGTTCATTTTTCACTAATGGATCTGTAGAATCATAATCACAATCAAGTAAATTACTAGATACATGCGATGTTTCTTTAAAATTTTTTTTTAATTCTTTCTCTACCTCAATTTTTAAGTTTTCTTTGCCAGATAATTCATTAATACAGTTTAAACTTTCTTCTTGTAAAACAGGTAATGTTAAACTTACTTCATTAGGAGTATTTTCAATACCTTCATCAATTATTGTTTTGTTTCCTTGTTTTATATGTATATTATTTTTAACATTATTAAAATGTACTATATCTTTATGTATGTTTATATACTTTTCTTTTGCAATATGTTTTTTTTCAGAATGGTTTACCATAGCTAATGAGATTTGGAAGGTGTAATCACAGCTTTGAGAATTACTAACTAATAAAATCATTAAATCTACATTACAGTTTGGACATGTATACACAGCATCACTATGTATCTGAGAGAAGTCTGTTACTTCTTTAGAAAGATTAAAAAAAGATTTTATTTGCGATGTCTTTTCCAATCTTTTAGAATACTCTAATACCTCTTGAATAAATTTGTAGTAAAAAATGATTTTGTCATAACATGATAAACATACATACTTTGAGCCACTATCATCAATAGATATCTGTAAAAATTATTTAAAGTATAACATATATCTTATGATATGAAACAAATAAATTATTAAAATATTTTAATAAACATTTTATTGAAATAAAATATTTAAATTTAAAAAATTTATATATTTAATTTTTATTAAATATATATATATTGACATACTGTTATGGGTAATGTTTCCTTTATTTTATGTATTAAATCTGTTGAACCTTCAAAGATACTTTCATGCTTTCCTTCTGTAAGATTTACACCACATAAACGACATGTTAATGCATCTTTCGAAGTATCCATAACTAAATCTCTGAAAAGTTTATTGTAAGATTATTAAAAGTTTATATTATAATTAATATTTCCTAATTTTTATATCTTAATAAATCATTGAGTAATTAGTTGAAATTTATTAAAAATATATTGCACTTGGCAAAACATATACTTACACATAATTTTGATGATTTGTTTATTTTAGGTTATGTCCCTATGTGTATCAATATAATTAACCTGTATACATTAATTAAACCATAATTCTTTTAACATAAATAGTGTATACGTTATTAAAATTTCTTTCATAGATTTTAAATATCATTTATATCATATTGCTAGCGATTATATTACGTTATAATATTAGTAAATATATGTTTTTCACAACAATAACTTAAATACTTTATGAATTATTAAGTATTTTATGAAAGATGTTTGAGAAGTTGTTTATAGCTATACAAATTTTTTTCATGTAAACTAATAAATACACATTCTCAAATAAAAATAGCGTACATGAAAAGGTGATCTTTAAATTGTTATTTGTGTGTGCGCACGTATTTATATACATATATCATTTGAAACAAATGTTGAGAAAAATAAAAAACACTCAAAATGTATTGATGTTGGAAGTTAATCTCAATAAAATATTTAATAGAAACAAGAAATGGATAGACAAAAAGGTACAAGTTTTCTTATTTTGAACGTATTCAATATTTTTCTGTTATATACAAAAAATAAGTTTTAACAATTTAATTATAGGTTATTTAGCTTGCAGTTTATATATTACTTTTCTTACTTATATGCAATATAAATTAATGTGAAGAAATAGATCTAATTAAAAAATATCAATAAAATGTTACATGAAGTATTACTGTCATTATGGGGATGTTCAACTAATGCTTTGCAAATATTGGAATCAGATGTGAGTATAATATATACTGATATTAAATTATACAGAATAATTATATACAGTTTATTTATGTTCTTTAAATTTGTTGTCTTCAGACTGTAGATATTGAAAAATATTTGCATCCTGGTGAACGTGTATTACTCAAAGAAATATTAGATATAGTTGAACAATGTAATATTATTAGAAATTTCATTCAAGAATATACTACTTCTGACAATTTAAAATCTATTCAAGGTATTAAATTTGATATTAAAATTAATTATATATTTTACTATGTATTTATAATTTATTAATTTTCAAATATATGTTATAGATTTACAAGATGTCCCTCAAGGTTTATACTTACAAGCCTTTTGTGAAGGAATGGATCAAGCTTTGGAACCATTTCGTAAGGAGATTGTTGATTTAGAAGATGTAGTCCTTCGTGATAGTTATACTCCATTGTCATTAATACTTTGTCGTATCCAAAAATACATTTGTATGTTTTCTGTTTTAAATTCTATCATAAAAGAGGTAAATAAAGATTATTCATTTAATGTAATTTGCAGATATGATTTAAAATAATATTTGAAATACTTGAAAAAATTTAATCTATTTCAGATTCGTACACAAAAAATTCATGGTTGTAAATTGTTACAATGTTTGCATCAAAATATGTATACTGGTATTCCTGATGTAAAATCTGCAATAGAAAAGTAAGTGTTAAATTATATCATTTTATTTTATTTTGATATTTATTTTTGCTAATTGTTTTATCTTGTTTAGAATGTCCCACTGTGTACACATAGTTTTTTATAAACACTTGACTAGCTGGCTTTTATATGGTCATTTAGAAGATATGTACAATGAATTTTTTATTCAAAAAATATCTGAGAGACAAAACAGCTTAATATTAGCAGATAATAAAGATAATTTTGATAAAGCAAATACAAAATTTACTGCAAACATGTGGAATTATGATGTTCAAATAGATATGCTTCCTTCTTACATTAGACCATCTTTAGCAATTAAAATCTTGACTATAGGACAAACCATTATAATGTTTGGAAATGACCCAAGACAAAAAAAAGGTAATTTATATTTAAAACATTTTAGATTGATTAAAACATAAAATGAATTAACTTGTTTATTTGTTAACAGATTTTGCTATAATTGATCAAACAGAAACTTCTATATGGGGAGAAAAAGAATATGAATATTTTCTTAAATTTCAGAATCTTCAAAAAAAGCATATTTTCGATATTGTCGAATTTGAACGTACAATTGATGAATTAAAACAGTGTATAACAGAACTTTTATGGCGAGTTGCTGTTGAAGAAGCACAACTTGTGCAGCAACTTAAACTAGTAAAAGATTTCTTTCTTATGGGACGTGGTGATTTGTTTCTTGAGTTTATTAGACTTACAGCTCATATATTAAATAAACCTCCAACACAGCATACCTCTAGAGATATTAATTTAGCTTTTCAAATGGCTTTAAGAAAAATGCATTTAAATGATGAAAACGCTATGGACAGCTTTAATTTTATAGTTCCAATTCCAGCACAAGAAAATGAAGATATCGAGGTAGAAGGTACAGAATTTACTGAGAAAGAACGTGAAGATCCTATTAGTAAGACATTTTTTTATATATTATTATATTTTTTTAAATGAGCAAAATTTTTGATAATATATTATTGATATTATTATAGAAAGACGTGGATGGGGTATGATTATTTTGAAATACAAAGTTATATGGCCATTACATCTATTATTTAGTCCATCTGCTTTAAATGATTACAATACATTATTTAAATTTTTGCTAAGGGTTAAAAAAACACAAATTGATTTGTGGAATCTTTGGAGTGAACATATGTATTACAAAAACATGTAAAATATTATTCTAATATTTTATATATAAGTAAGTTAATTTTTATTAAATGTTAACAATTTACATTATTACAGTGATATTGGTGTAATTCAGCTGAGAAATAATTTAATTTTCATCATTGATAATTTACAATACTACTTACAAGTTGATGTATTAGAAAGTCAATATACTATAATGGAAACAAATATAAAAAGTACCCGAAATTTTGAAGATGTACAAAAGGCTCACTGTATTTTCTTGGCTAATGTTATGTCACAAACATTTTTATTAGGGAATGCAACGGAAAGAAAAAATCCTGTATGTTATATATTTATTAATTCCAATAATTTTATAATTTTTTATTTGTTTATTTATTATATAAATATTTTTGATAGGTTAATAAACTAATAAAACTTTTACTACGACTTTGTGATGATTTTATCTTACAAGCATCAATGTGGGAAGTAGGTAATTTACTTTTAACAGAACAAGAAGAACTTAAAACATTATCTGATACTCTTGAAAGTTTAATGGGTTGGCTAACTAAAACACTGAATAGAGTACGTGCACAACCAAGTGGAGAACATTTAGCTCAGCTATTATTGAGACTGGATTTCAATAGATGGTTTAGTAAAAAAATATAAAGAAGACCTATTTGAATCTCGGTAAATAATGGAAATAATGGAAAAACATGTGATGTATTTATAATATTTTGTTTAAAATTATTCTTTATATGAATTTATCTCTGCACACACATATATATTAAGCTCGTTTTTTGTTTACTTGAAATATTAATATTTTTTTGATCATGAAAAATACAGTACAAGACTCTAATTTTGTTCTTAATTTAATAGAAATATATTAAAAGGTAAAAAGAATATTTATAAATAAATGTAATATGTAATAAGTTAATATATTTTTTTCATTAATTTCATCACTGAAAATAAATTATTTCTTATTGTAATTAAATATTTTAGAAGTAAATAACTTAACTTTAATTATATAAATAATAATTAACTTCATATTATTAATTATTCAAATGTATTAAATAGATAAAAGGATTAAATAATTATCATAGACGATTATTTTCATTATATTTATTTACTCACATTTATCATATTGTTAATTAAGTATGATCAACACACATACATATTATTATATGTACATAGATGAATTAATAAAACATGCATAGTATATAATAAGATGTATAATAAGAATAACAATAGTAACAATTTTACAAGAATATATAAATATATATTAAAATTAGACTCTTTTTTTTGCAACTTTTATGAATAATACCATATCTGAAAAATAATTTTATATATTGAATAAATTCTTGTCATGTTTCAGACAAGTATTTTATAAAAATTAGTCACTATAAAATTATATTATAATTATATTAAAATCAATATTATAAGACATGATGCATTAATTAATACTTACTAAAAAATACAACTAAAACAAATGCAATCATCACCCACATCCAACACCTCCAATGTGATTGTGTATGTTCTTGCAATTTTAATGATTCTGTTTTTAATTTAGCTGTATTAACATCTGTTAATTTATCAGATTTTTCAAGTAAACCAATATCTTTTTTTATAATGGCATTTGCTGCTAAAGCATGTTCTTTCATGCTGCTAGTCATTGAAAGCATATTTTCAGCAATTTTTTCTTGAATATTTCTATTGTATTTTAAAAATGCATCCAAATCATCATCTTGTATGTTTGTACTAGCTAATCTTTGTCTTATACCATCTTCTAGTGTTCCTAGAAATAATAAACAATTAATTACATTTGCAAATTCTCTTTCTCAATTAAAATGATAATATACCTTTATCACTATGAAATAATTCAGCACGCATTTCTCTATTATATTTTGCTGAAGTTTTTTGATGTATTTGAGTTGTTATATTTGGACCTATTGAGTCAGTAAATGCTGTAGAACTTTTTGGTAACATTTGTACAGCTGCAACTCTGTCCACTGGATTTGCAAGTTTAGTTGTATTTACTAATCCCTTTAGAAAATCTATTCGTTTAATGTAACCCATCATAATATCTTTAGATGGTTTGCTAAAATAATTTTATTACAATTTTAAATATAATGTTATCATCTTGTTTATATATTATTTGGAATATACTTTCATCAATAAATGTTATTTAAAAAAAAAAAACAAATAGGATGATACCTTGGTAATGTTTGTAACTGTTTAACCATATCATTCAAAGTAAGGATATACTGAAATAATCGATACATTCATTTTGAATAAATTAATTTAATTTCAATCATTCATTTTTTAAATTGTTTTTAAACCTTTTCAAGTTTCCAATCCTTATGAGGATCATCTTTTGCCATCAATTCACATCTTGTTAAAAGTCGTCTGATATTAATTTCTTCTCTGGACATTTGACTCATTTTTGATAATTGATGATTATTTAACAATTGATGAATAAATACTATATATAGAACCCAAGTATATATATATACTTAGGAATTAGTTAAAAAATACTTTATTAAATATCAAAATTTTAAAAATATTTTTAATATATACAGAACTAACTACACAGTGATAACAACAGCACTATATATTATATATGTATGTCATAATCATACATGTGCACTCAATGATCCATAAAATTTATACAATCTTCCCAGAAACATGTATCTTCTATATGCTTACACCTATAAATTGAAGTGTTATACATTGACAATAATATTTAAAAGTTCGTAAATTAATTAATTTCTATGTTACATATTATAAATGTTACAAAAAATGTTACATATTATAACAATCATTGCAATATTACGTATTCTTTTTATTACATTTTTAAATATGCCGCTATAAATTCATCACTAGGCGATAATAATTTATTGTGAACGAAACGGTGTACAATGCATTTTTTCATCGAACCATAACTAACTGACTTCATCAGTAGACGCCTTTATAATAATATAATTGTTAATTTGTTATATGTACGTTACATGTTATAGGCGTGGGAATTTTGTATTGAAGTGTGCGGAATGTGCAGAAAAAATAAATTAGAAAGTTTATAACATATGAATATACATAGACAAGTACTGTGAGAAATACGATAGTCATAGATAGCGATTGACGTTGGCATACATCACTTGGGGGGCCGATCCCAGTGCATTTCTCAGTAGATTGACAGAATCACTAAGATGGCTGATATAAAAGAATCTCCGCCGCTATTTGATACTAATGAGACGAAAGTTGATGATTTAGACGACGACGATGAAGATATTTTTGCATCGGCAGTACAGGTAGTTTTTATATTATTTTCAGACATGTGCGTAAAAGTTCTACAACCTATGTATTACAGTCACAGGTTTATTTTTGTTGTAATAAATATAAAATTTGTATTTTATAGTTAAAAAATAAGCGATTTAAAGTGAGATTGTTTCATAATTTCATAATAACACGTTATTTAAAAAAGAATCTGTTTAAATATAGGATCAAAATCAATTGGAAGATTCGTCTCCTTACAATGGAGTGTCAACTATTCAAGCAGAATTACCAAAGCTAACTTTGCGAGATGCACCAGAAGAAAATTCATTTTCATCAGTATCGAGTCCTGCACCAGGACCATTAAGTTCACCTTTGGGACCAATGAGTACTGACATAGGTGATCTCCATGACGTTCCCATAAATGATAATACAGACGTACTTTCATCAAATGTTATGCAAACTCAATCGCCTGATGTGGTATATTTTAAATTATTAAATGTTAATGATAACAATTTAAAGAATGTATGTTATAGTTTATATATTTTTATAGGTATCGACAGATTCTTCTGATGTTTTCTTGAAAATCACTGTAACTTCTCCTCAAAAAATAGGAGATGGAATGGGTGCTTATGTTGCATACAAAGTTGAAACAAAAACAAATATGCCAATATTTAGAAAGAGAAATTTCAGTGTTATTAGACGCTTCAGTGATTTCCTTGGCCTTCATGACAAATTAACAGATAAATATCTTAGAAATGGAAGAATAATACCTCCTGCTCCAGAGAAGAGTGTTATTGGTATAGATATTTATGGATATTTTGAATTGCTATCATTTTCATTATGTTGTTTAATAAAATAAATTAAATAATTATATGATTAGGAACAACCAAGATTAAAATGTCTGGTGACAAAAATCAAGAACAAAATTCCAGTTCTACAGAATTTATTGAGAAACGTAGGGCAGCACTTGAAAGATATTTGAATAGAACTGCAACTCATCCAGTTCTTAGTGTTGATCCTGATTTTAGAGAATTTTTAGAAGCTGGTAAATCATAGTATAAAATAAAACATATTTTATGCAATCATACATATAACTTTGTGTATATCTTAAACAGATATGGAATTACCTAAAGCTACTAATACATCTGCACTTAGTGGTAAAGGAGTAATGAGGCTATTTAACAAAGTTGGAGAAACTGTTAACAAGATAACATATAAAATGGATGAAACTGATAAAGTAAAATAAAAGAATGTTTGATAATTTTTTGTACTATATATATTATAAAATTGTTTGTGTCGTTTATTTAATTAATTATATAGAAAATTTAAATGAGTAAAAATATATTTATAAAATATATTTGTGAATGAAAAATTTTTTAATGTCTTATTTTTCAGTGGTTTGAAGAGAAGACATCGCAAATTGATTCTCTTGATGTTCAGTTACGTGCATTACATTCTGCTGTTGATACTTTAACTAATCAGAGAAGAGAATTAGCAACATGTACTGGTGCAACAGCAAGATCTATTGCAGTTCTTGGTCATGGTGAACCAGGAGCATCTCTTGGAAGGGCATTAGCTCAGTTAGCTGAGACTTTGGAAAAAGTAGAAGTAATCAGAAGAGCACAAAGTAATAGCGATCTTTATCAGTTTGGAGAAATGTTAAGAGATTATGTTGCTCTCATTGGAGCAATAAAGGTTAGTAATCAGTGGTGTGTTTTGTATTTAAATATTGCACATTTCATCAATTTAAAATATTGTTAATTTTAGGATGTATTTCACGAAAGAGTGAAAGTTTTTCAAAATTGGCAACATGCTCAAATGATGTTAAATAAAAAAAGGGAACAGAAAGCAAGACTAGAACAATCTGGAAGAATAGATAAAACAAGTCAAGCTGCTACTGAAGTAATAGAATGGGAAGCAAAAGTTGATAGAGGGCAAGAAGAATTTGACAATATTTCAAAAATGATTAAAAAAGAAGTTGAAAGATTTGAATTAGTGAGAGTGGAAGACTTCAAGAAACAGTTAACAGAATATTTGGAATCCATGTTACAGTACCAAAATCAACTTATTAAATATTGGGAAAGCTTTTTGCCTGAAGCACGAGCAGTGGCATGAACATTTCCAAAGTAATATTCAAACTTTTCCTTATTGTAAGGAAAACAACAAATCTATAAATAAAAAGTTTCGTGCAATTTTTTTAAACAAACTTCTAATGAATGATAAATGACATTCTACGAAGAATGTATATTTATCGATTTGCGGTACAATAATGTTTATAATTTATAATAATGAAAGAAATATCATCTTATGGCAATATTTGAAAAATTTATAAACAATAATTTTGAAATACTGCTAATGCTTTTATTAAAAAGCAACAAAATCATGGCATATTTCACTCAAATTTTTAGATATTCATTTTATGTCGATTATTCCTGAGTATCATGCGTTTATAATCTTCTTACTATTAGTTTATATTAGAGATATAAAGCGCATAATACTGTTTGTTAAGAAATGTTATATGATAATAAAAATCGATTAAGATTGTATAAATAGAGAACATTAAATATCTATTTGTTAAAACAAAGTCTAATCATATAATTAATATTATGATAACTTATGATTTTTCACATTATTTCCAGATAGCGAATAGGCATTCCAATAACGTTTTTTATTAAACTTAATATAATTATAATATATACTTTGATAAGTATAAAATAAAGATATCATATTTTTCTATATGTTAAAAAGTTAACTACTTATTATAAATTGTAATAAAATTAAATCGTTAAATAATATTTATCCCTTATATTTTATTTATTGAAAACATTTTATTAATATGTAATATTTTGTTGATCTTGCATAAAACATGGTTGAAGAAGAACTATATAGAAGAAATTAAATGTTATAGTTTGCTAAGTTGGCCAACTTGTTCTAGCATGCAGAATTGGTATAGTGTTATGTTGATACATGTAACTCTATCATATGTTGTGTAGTCCGTTAGTGATCATGAATTAAATTAGGTTATCAATTATTTGTCGTGGTTAATTGTCATTGACAATTAATGAAACTTGTGGATGAATTTTGTTCTCATTTGTGCGAGTGTTTTGCATACGTGGCAGAAGCTGCCACCAATCAGAAAACGGGGATTTTGATAGGCGTGGCTTCGAACACGTACACTTGTCTGTGTCTCCGGCAGCCATAATCTTGAGAAGTCGTGTGTGAATTCTTGTCGTGATTCTCTGTAGACAAACAGAGTTCGTTGTTCATTTTACATTCCTCAGTGGAAGCGATCTACTGAATTTTCGGTGAGCAGTGTAAGTTTAGTGAGTTTATTAGTTCTATTGTTTTAACGAAATGTAGTACAATATAAATCATTTTGCCGGTTCTATCCGATTCGCGATTTAATGTTGAGGAACTTGTCTCATCTTCAATAATTATGTCGTCGACCTGCTTGTCACCCATATGTCATTTTCATCATATTTTTTTCGAAATTTTCATCTAATAAATAACCCCATTATAAAACACTTTACGTGTATATATATATATACACATATATATATATATATATATATATATATATATATATATATATATATATGTATATGTATATGTATACATATGTATATATATATATATATATATATATGTATGTATATGTATATGTATACATATATATATATATATATATATATATATATATATATATATATATATATATATATATATATATATATGTATGTATATGTATATGTATACATATGTATATATATATATATATATATATATATATATATTTATTTAATATATACTCAGGCTCGTGCACCCGTACAAAATATATACATATATATAATTATTATATATATGTATTATATATGTATGTATACAACAATTTATTTTTTGTACTACATTATTATATGCTATGTGCTAAATGACACATTTTCTATGAAAGTATATTTAATATTTATAAAATTAATAGTAATTTTTTTTATTAAATTAAAGAATATAGAAAGAATATAGAATTAAGATATAAAAAATTACTATTGTACATGTTAACTTAAAGAAAGTAACTAGAAAATTATGTTTTAAATAAATTGCAATAAAGATTATGAGATATCAAAATCACTTTCATTAACTTATATATTTATAATTAATGATCTCTTATATAAAATTAATTAAAGAAATCTTTCATATAAGTACTTTACTGTTACAGGCACAGATATATAAAATGGATGTTCAAACTGGATTGGTATATGTAGCAGTAGTAGTTATTTCTGCAGCAGTTATTGTTTTGGTATCAATGTTTGGTATAAAAGAAAAGTCTTATGAAGAAGCAATAGCGGAGCAAAGAAAACTTCCTGATGATCTTTTACTAAGTATGTACAGTTCTATGATAATATAAACAAATAATTTTGTTTATCAGCTATTAAAGAAAATTTTTGTGGCAAATTATTAATTAAGTAGATTATGTTAAATATTTTGAAATTTCCTTAAGAGATAGCTTAAATGTTTATATTAAAAACCAATAGGAATCATGTTAGTAATAGATAAGATAATAGTTGTATCAATATTCATTTTAGATAAAAAAGATAAAAGCAAAGAAAAGAAGCATAAAAATAAGGCAGGGAAGAAGGTAAAAGAGAAGAAAGAAGAAAAGGAAGAGAAAGATGATAAGGAAGAAAAATCAGAGCATGTACAGTTTGAGGAAAATCCACAAATTTTACCACTAGAGCCATTGTTGCGTGTAAGTACAATTTTATTAAATCTATCTCCTTAAGATTATCTCCTTTTAACTTTCAGTTGATATACATAATTTCTGTAAAAATATTCTTCTAACTTATATATACATTATTTCTTCAAAATATAGATAAAATAATCAGAACTTAAAGTCAGAATAATCAGAAATTTAAAAATAAATTTTATACTATATTTGTAAGTAAAATGTGTTAAATTATAATTAAATTAATAATTTTTTAGTAAAATTGAATTAGAATGATTACTTATTTTATTTAGTTTACTTATATTAGTTTACTTACTTCATGTATTTTTTAAAAGACATTCTTTAATATTAATTGAGATATATAACTAATTATTTGCTTATTTGAAGTTTATTTTTAAAATTTTTAAATATTTTTCTATAAAGTTCAATATATATATGTATATTGTTATATAATATTAATATTATATATATAAATAAAAATATACACATGCGCTTTTTTATCCTTGAGTTTCCATACATTTCATGCATGAAATATGGTATGCTTACATATTGTATGTCACACCTATATGTCATTTAAGGTCTTTTAAGGTCTTTCTATTCATGATGTATCATATTTCTGGTAGGTGTTATCCAAACCATAATGACTAATTGTAATATTTTAATGTGTACTATATAACATCTTATGTGATATTTATATGTCATTTTACTTAGACTAATACATCTACATGATTTAAAATAAAATTTTACTTAAGCAGAGAAATTTATTAAATATTTACTTTACGACATATTATTTTTCATCTTAATTTTTTAATTACTTATACATACTTTAAAATACATTAATATAAAATAACTGCACACTCCTATATCAATGTAGAAAATCCAATTAATGTTTTCCCCTTTAAAGTCAGATGAACTTTTGTATATTAAATCTTATATTAAAATGGACATTTGCCTTTTTAAAATGACAATTTTTATGTCTAATTGCATCAAACTTGCATAAACTTAAATTTATTTATATGAAGACGTAAAGTTTTGTAATAAAAAAGATTTAAAAACAAATTGTAATATATTAATTACATTATGATTGGCATTTGTTATATATATTACAGTAATATGCATCTTTTTAAATATGTTTATATGATTAAAATTTTAAATAGTATTGTATTATTCTAATTTCATAATTTTGTAATTATTTATAAATGTATATAATATATTTGAAATTATGCCATGGTAAGTTAATTTAAATTATAATGTTGGATATGTAATAAAATATTTTATTTTGTATTTATAACCTCAGGAAACATTTAATATATTTAGAAAGTGAAGACATTAAAAAATTAAGGAATTTTTATAGATAAATTAAATTAAGTTACATAAGATTCTGATGTAAAATGAAATAAGTTAACTAAAGCAAAAATTTGTTTTTTTGTATAGTACTCATTGATAAACAGTTCTAGGACCTGAAGATTAACTTCTATAAATAACTGTTCCACACATATGATAATGTCTTATTTTTATTGATATTATACACGACGAAAATTAAGAGAAATAATAATTAAAATTTAATTAAATAAAAAATTCTAGAGATATATTTAAATTTTTAAAATTATTTATTTCCAGAGATTTAAAAATATTACTATAATTAATTGAAAATGTGTAATTGGTATTTTTATAATTTTTATATTAAAATTCAATAATGATAAATATTAAAGTGCTTTTTTTGCATTAATAATCTTTCTGTGAAATAAGATATAGTATACTTACATAAATTGTTAATGATGCAGTGGATTTATTAATTTCAGGTATATATGTTTGGCAAGAAATCAAAATAAATACAATATTAAGGTGAAAATTACATCTATATTTATACAAAAATGAAATAAAAGTTATTAATTATTTTATTTTTTTTAGTAAATATTTTATCTATTGCTAAAAACATAATAATTAACAGATTATAAATTTTTAATGCCTTTATATGTATCTTATACTCAATAATCAATATAAATAATTTTATATGTCCATTTTAATATAATGTAAGATAAACTTGTTGTTCTAAAAGTGGAAGTCTTTTGTCTATATTACTATTACTTAGTTCAATATGTGGGAAACATTTTATATATACATTGAAATCATAGGAGGGTAGCAAAGGAACTAAGAAGAAAAGCAAGCATGAAAAGGTAAAGCCAATTCTTGTAAATAAAGATGAGCCATTGGTTATTGTGACTGAATTAAGTTCTTCACAACCCCTTTCGGCAGAGGCTAATCATTTTGATCTCATTCAACCAAAGGACGACCTCGAACTCATACGGAGTCATAGTGTGAGTGAACTGGTTTTGGTAGAATATTTTATCTCATATGCATTTCATTCACTTTTCATATTTTGCATAACTTACTGCTTCTGACACAAAAGCTATACAGTATTATGTACTGCTTATTTATATTTTCTAAATTTATTTTTATTTTAAATTAATTTTAATTTTATAGATAAATATTTTTAAAATTGTAATAAAATAAGTTTTCATAAATAAAGTTTAAACACAAATTTTTAAGTTCATATCACATTTTATGTACTTGTTCATTAATACTTTTACTGCAATATTAAGTCATTTTAATTTTTAATTTTTTTTCTTGTATGTTCTGTATGTTTTTTATAAACTTTTATTAATAAATTATTTAATAATTTTGTATTATAGTATAAAATTGTTTGGTCTTTGAAATTATTTCACACAAAAATTTTAAAATATATTTCCTAGTATATTTTGGTTTGTTTAACAGAAAGAAAATTTGCAACAAATTGGTCAATCTGAATCAATTATAAATAAATCTCCAAAGGAAACTCCAACAAAATTAAAGAAGAATGTTAAAGATTCAGTGAAAAAGAAGGATGACAATGTTAAGGAAGAGAAAAAAGAAATGGTTAATAATACTAATACACCACCAGTAGTTAATAAAGATTCTGTAAAAGAAGTTAAAGAACAAAAAGAAATTCCAGTTAAGGATGTAAAAGAAGCTACAAAGGAGACTTCACTATCTGTTCAATTAACAAATAAAGAATCTAAAAAAGCAAAGAAAAAAAATGATATTCTAGCACAAATTGGTAAGTTGATATATAATTATTTTATATATTTTTTTAAAATTAATTTCAAAAACCTGTATCTGTGTTCTATTTAATGCCTTTCCATTAATTCTTCTAATAATTTTACTTAAGAGCAATTTAGTTTCTCTTTTATTCAATATATTTATATACAATAAAATTATAATCGTCCTTTGCAGAATAATACTTACTATCTTTATAATTAAGTTTATTAACATGTTTATTAATGGCCAATTAAGTTTATATTATCACCTGAATAAAACCATTTTATAAAATAATGTTTATCAAATATTTATAATATATATTTTTTTTAATTTTAAACTATTTTATTTGAGGTGGAGATAAAGATGCTGTTAATGTATCTTTATTAATGCCTTTGGTTCAAAAAGCTGAACTTAGCCGTTCTGAAATACAAATTCTTATTGATCAACTTTTAAATAAACAAATGGATAATCCATCAGAACACTCAGAATGGACAGAAGGTCGTGCAGATCCAGTTATTAAATTAAAGAAGCAGCTTGCAGAAAAGGAAAAAGCTTTAGCTGATGAACATGAAGCAAATATTGCATTTCAAAATAAATTAAAAGAATTACGTGCTGAATTGAATTCTGAAAGGTCTAGATTATCAGCTAATGTGAGACAATTAGAAGAAGCATTAAATGCTAAAGTTACAGAAGCTCAAACTTTGCACACACGTATGCAACATATTTTGGAAAGTCATGCTGCTGAAAAGCAAGGATTTACTAGACAGATTGAACAACTGCAAACTAAAGTAAATGAAAATGCTGCAATTATTCATAAGATGCAAGAAGATCAGGGACAAACTCAAGGTCATATGCAACAAGAGTTGATTGCACAACGTAAACAAATGGAAGTACAATTTGCACAAATGCGTGAAAATGAAAATGCATTAAAAGCACAATTAGCTCAGAAGCATGTTGAAGTCCAAGAACTACAAAGTGAATTACAAGCAACTTGTGAGAGTAGCACTGCTGAAATAGAAATGTTACGGCAACAACTAGGACTTATGCAAGGACAATTGATGCATTCGGAAGGACAATTACAACATTTCAAGGAAGCTGGAGATAGATTGCAAGATGTTGCTAGGCAGCTTGAGGTATGACTTTCAAAACTAGAAATTTTGTATCAAAAAGGGAAAGAGTATCTCACATTATCTTTGCCTCTATAGTAATATGATATCTCTATAATGATATAGTGCAATGTAAATGATTAATAAATTATTGTAAAGATTATTTATATTTATATTTATTTGTTTAGGATTCTCATCGTACTCATGCTGATTTAGATCACAGACTAAAGAATGCTCATCGCCATGAACAAGAACTTCAAAAACAAGTAAATTCCTTGCAAAGTGAATTGAATTCTGTAAAAACAGAAGCTAATGATGCTTCAGCATTAAAAGCAGAGTTAAATAAAACTCAATCTGAATTAATGAAATTAAAATCTGAGCTATCTGTTTCAATGAATGAAGCGAAATTTGAGGCAGCTGAAATTACAGCTCTTAAAATGACACTCGTTAACAAAGAAGATGAGCTAAAAACATGTCAAGAAGAACTTTACAGTACACGATCTGAATTAAAGCAGTCAATGGAAAATATAAAACAGTTAGAAATACAATTAGATTTAGTGCAGAAGGATTTAGATGCTGCACAAGATGAACTTAACAAGACAACGGAAAGTCTGAAAATAGCACAAAGTGATATTAATAATTATCAATCAAACATGGAAAAATTAAATGAAGAATTAAAACAAACTCGAAATGAATTGGAAAATACACATATAGAACTCAAAGCTGTAAATGAAACAACGAATGAAATGAAAATGTTAAAAGCTGAGTTAAATAGGTTACAGAAACGTGATCAGCGAGGTGAGGCACAGTTGCAGCTTACACGACTACAAGAAGAAAATGATAAACTTTCTATGCAGGTAGTATTTATTTAAACATCATATAAATGTACATTATATTTCATTACAAATATATTGATTATTTCTTTTCAGCTTGCAAGTCTTGCAGATTTGCAAAAACAACTTAAACAATTACAAGAAGAAAATGAATCATTGGCTTCTCAGTTAGCAGCAACTACTGAACGTCCAGCTGCAGAAGGCCGAGAAAATGGAATTGATGATAACGTTCAAAAGAATGTACAACTTGTAGAACAAACAAATTTGTATGTATATTTTTTATTGTAAAACACATTTTGAGTTTTGATAATTAAGTTTTCCTACATGAATTATATTTCATAGATTGGCTCAAAAGGAGAGTCAATTAAATGCCTTAGCGACTGAATTAACACATAAAGAAGTAGAACTCAATCAACTAAATACTCAAATTGATGCATTACGAAGTGATGTAAACAATCAACGTAGTCTTGCTGCACGTTTAAATAATGAATTGGAAGCACAAAGATCCAAAAATAATGTAAGTAATAATACGTATAAATAAATTTTTTTCCAGTATATTTATTTAACATATATGTAAATATAATATATATATGTTAATTTTATCAATATTTAATTAGTTCAATTGTTATATAAATATTCGGTTAAATTTTTATATAAATATAATTTTTTTATATTTATGTATTTTTGCAATCAATTTTTATTGCTTCCATCACTTTGCCAACCTTTTCTCAATTTTTATATTTCAAAAAAAATTTTTATATATTTGTAATTCATTTATATGAAATATTTATTTCAAATTATTATACTGATCTTCATTTCTTTATGGTTGGAACAGGAATTACGTGTAAAAAACTGGAAAGTGATGGAAGCTCTTTCTGCCGCCGAATTGCGTGTTAAATCTAATAATGGGAAGAACTTTGAAGTAAGTCCCCATTTTATCTATCTTTATTTTTCTTTTTTTCTTTTCAAAATATAGATTTGGTATAATATATAATATATACAATTAACTAAATTGTAATTTCTTGTTTTCAATCTCTAATATTATATTTGTTTGTTTCATTTAATAAAATAGATCAAATTTAAATAAAAAAAATTTTATTTATTTTTAGGAAATTACACAAAAAATAAAAGCAGAACAAGAAAAATTAACAAAAACTTTATTAGAAAGAATATTCCCAGAAATAAAAGTGTCTGAAAAGTCACATGATCAGTGGCTCAAAGTTTTTGAAGAAAAAGTGAATACAGTTTTAACTGAATTGAAGAAAAAGAATACTGTTGATAATCATTCAGAATTAGAAAAACAAAATAAAAATTTACAAGATATGGTTTCACATTACAAACAAATTATTGATGATACAGTAAGTTTCTATTATATTTATAATATTTTTTTATTAAATTTATATTTAAAACGTATTTGTCAAAAATTTATTTAGGAAGGTATGCTTAATAAGCTTCAAAGTCATGTAGAATCGGAAGAAACGAGATGGGAATCTCAGCTTCGACAAAAAGAAACTGAAGTAACAAGTCTTAGGCTTGAATTGAATGAACTCATGAATAAATTAAATGTAAATGAAAAGGTAAGTTTCTGTGAATAAGAAATAAAAAAATGTATTGTATGTAATTAAAAATATATTGTATCTAATATGTATCTTTCGAAATGTAAGAAAATGATTGTTTTATTTATCTGTAGTTACAAGACAAGGTAGTAGAATTGGAAACCAGGTTAAAAGAAGCTGAATCTTTTAAAGAAAAGCTAACAAGCTTAGCTAAACAAGCTGATGCTGAATTATTAACACTTAGATCTACGCCAAAATCGGTTTTGAGTGAAATAGATACCCATGATTTAAGTACATTACAAAAACTTCAAGAGGTAAATAAATATAAAAATAAATTATTACTTGAGTCATTAAAGACTATGTAATAAATCTATATATTAATTTTAGGAAAAAGCACGTTTGTCAGAGGAGCTTCAAATAGAATGTAACAAAAGAGCGGCAGTAGATGCAGAACTGGATAAATTACGATGTGTAGTTACTCAGCTTCATCAACAAATGTCACAACTTAAGGTATTGTATTGTATATGTAGTACATATAAACAATTTAACACGTTGAATGCCACGGGGGTCACTGGTGACCGGTACTCAACTTGGCGGTGGCGCCACGGGGGCCACCGGTGACCGGCGCGCCCAGATTGATAGAAATATATATAATTTAAACAAATGTTAATATTTAGAAATTTTTATTATTACCATATATTAATGCAATGGTGTGAAGAAATGAATGCAGTATAAAACATCTAAAAATAGTTTTATTTATACATGAAATATAGATTTATTATGCGCACACAATACGATGTGTCGTATTGAAGCATTCCAAACAAAGAAAGGGTGAACCAGCACAGTTTTCACAATATCTTCATTTGAAATCATAATTTTATGGGCTAACTAAAAAATTAAATAGAAGATACGAAATGCAAAAATTTTTGTAGTATATAAAAATATAATAGAGGTTCTTGCCTGATTGTTTAACACTCTCGAAAAGAATACAATCGTGGAACTATTACTCAACAACGTGAAGAAACAATATGAAATAATTGACGATTGCAAATATGCGATCGTCGATTATCGAGACTCGCTTATTTTTAGAAGTCGCTCGAAATCGCATTCCAGCGCCACGGCGGTCACCGGTGACCCCGGTCGCAATTAACATGTCAAACATGGTTATATACTGTAACTTATCTATTGCAGATAATATTTCAACATATGTATCGCATAATAGAAATTTCATCGTGGCGCCACGGGCAATCCCTGTAAAACTGGCGTGGCATTCAACGTGTTAAATGACATATTTTGGAAATTAATAAAATATGTATTTTCTAACTTATGTTTTTAAATTGGAAATATTATTAATGTGTTGTATTAATTTTAGAGTGAAGTTTATGGGGGTTGTAGCAGTACAGAACAACCAATGTTAAATGGACCGCCAACTTCCGAATGTCCTAATTCCGAGGTTAGTATACATTGATTTTAAATGTTTCGTAAGTGTCCTAATTAATTTTTGTCCAGTGCCTTTTGTATAAAAAAGTTAAAAAGCTTATGTTATAGCTGTAATGACAAAAATTATGGCTATAATGCGAACATGTGAGACTCTACATAATGCTGCAAAATTTTGACGTGATGTTAAATATTAAATATTAATTGTAATTAATTTGTGAAAGTAATTACTAACAACAGATTTTTGCGTTTTGCTGTTATTGTACTATATGTAATGATTACATGGTAACAATTTATATATAGGTATTATTTTGTAAAAGTCAGTTACATACTTCAAGAATTCAATAAAGCAAATATTTTATATTTAATTGAATTCTCTTCTATTCAACCAATTTATGAAATATGATTTTAATGTTTAAATTGTCTTTTACAAAGTATTATCTATGAAAAATTCGTTGTTTACTAGATAATATAGGCAATCAAATTGATAATTAATGGGGAATACGTAACAATTGTATTAAATATAGTTAAATCTTCTTGGATTTTATTTTAATACTAGCAACAAGAAAGCTCATAATTTTAAACTTTTTAACTCATTTGTTAAATTTTATAAATTTAGCAAATATAAATGTGGTATTATTGCTTGAACGTATTAATTTAATTAATATATAATTTTATTTAGTATATTATATTAAACTCATAAATGTCAATTATTCAATGATACCACAATTTATTCTTATATAATACTTTTATTCTGAAAAACTTTAACTAGATTTATTAATAATCTATCATATGATTGCTAACAATAGAGATTAATTTGCTAATGTTGCTACCACTGTTGCTATTTTGTAGATATTTTATGTATAATTTTGTATTTAGAAAAGTGATATATTAAAAATTTACATTTTTATCATATACTATAAAAAGAGCAATATAGACATTACTCTTTACTGGTATTAATAAAATTGCTTTGCAAAAAGAAAATATTATTTTATTAATATCATAATTATGTAGTTTTTATTAAAAAAAAGATTATTTGAAAAGTTATATATTTACCACATTTATTCATGTGCCAAAAATGTAAATTTTTTAATATAAAAAATAATTTCAAATTCTATCATTTTTCTAAATACAAAAACTTTTGTGGAACATATATTACTTTGAAATAATATAAGAAAAGTATGTGAATTATTCTAATAAAATATAAAAAGTTGAAATTTTTATCAAATGGATATCGCCAATTTGATTGTTGTGTATCATTTGATCTTTGAACCATTTTTGTTAACAAAACGACAATTTTGAAAATTTTTCCTTGCTCCTTACATTAAAAAATTTGATAAATTGTCGTCATTTAATATAATATGTGATGAGTTAAATAATGATATATCTGAAACGCAGCTCCCAGTAGCAACACAGACTCTGATAGCTGCATTAGAAAATATTCTTCTCAAGAATACAGAGTTCGCAAATTATTCCATAACCAAGCCTATCAATTTGGTTCAGTGTCAACAAGAAATTGACAACAGCCCCCTTACTACAAAATACTCCTCCAAATCTTGTCATATGACAGATCACAACACACAGGCTAGCTGGAATCCGTTGATGGGCCAGCAGCACAAAAAGCACAAGAAAAAAAGGAAGGTAAACTTCAAAATTGTGAAAAGAGGAACAAATATTACTGGCTCTGTTACTGTATAGGTGCACCTCAGTTAATTATTAAAATATGAAATATTTTTATTTGGGCTCAAGTATTACAATGAATGTTATTTTAAATCGTATGTTATATATTTTATTACTTCTAATTATATATACATTATGAATAATGTTTTATAATATAGTTTTCTATTTAAAAAAAACAAATGTATATATAATTTCGCATATTTTTCATCTTAAACAATTTTAAGTTGTCTATGAATTAAATAATATAAAATTTTGAAACTTTTGCCACGATATTTAAAAATAATCAATAAAGTAATTTTTTGAATAATTTATATACCTAAAATAATAACAATTCCTTGTGATAACTCCGAGTCCTGTGTTGTCATTTTGTTATCAATATTACGGAGTATTATTTGGTAGTCTATAATTTAAACAGTATTTTGTAGCAGTTCTTAATATATCAATAATTTCATTATTACGTTGTTTATTGTGGCTGTTCATAAAAGCATTAAGAGCAACCATTTACAAGTGATGTGTAGTTATACATAAAATAATGAATTTAATATATACATATAAATTGTGTCTTATAATCATACATTGAAATACTTATGTATTATTTTGTGCATAATAAGATAATACTCTCCACAATTTATTAAGAGTTATTTAAGTACAATTTATGTTTAATTAATGTATGCCTATATATATATATATATATATAAAATTATGTATGTGTTATTATATATATATATATACACACATACATAATTATTGATTTTATACGATTTGTAAATTAAAAATTAAAAATTAAAATGACAGTAAAGTACTAATGACAGTAAAACTTTTTAGTATTTCACTACATTTCTTTTGTAGTGAATTTATTTATAAATTGTATATGAAAGTAATGCATAATATTTATAATATTTAATAAGCTATGATTTATGATATATTTACCGAAAGTAAATGCCAGCAGCATTTTATACATCACACTTTTTATTTCAGTTTATTTTGTTCTAAGGAAAAAATGCGAATAGTGTATGTATTGCAGCAAGCATCTTATTCAATTTTGTATAATAATATTTTTTAAAAGAAAAAATAAATTGTTATTTTCTAGGAAATTATTGACTATGAAATTGCTTCCGATTATAAAACAAGCTTGAATCATTGGCTTTAATCATTTTATTTTTAAAAATTCGATGCAAACTGTAATAACATACTTATCTCATTATCCCAGTGTTTGTTTCATAGAAGATAAAGTATTTAAATTTGTTTAAAACAGCAGTTATTATTAAAACAACAGCGACTCATCGATTCTACGATTAATAAGAACATTTGCTTTGACGTACGAAATCTCATGCTATTACAATGAATAACGTTTTTATTATTTTGATTGTTCTGACAGTCCACTAAGAAACCCATGGCAAAACGGCGCAAATTCACAGGTATGCAAATCAAAGTATGAGATTCTGGAACTTTTCCTACTTTTGAAAGGGTTAATAGTAGACTGCTATTAGCAGTTTATACCAGGTTTTACTATAATAGTTTATTTTAAAATGTTAATTTACGTTGCACTACACATTATTTTTTGTAGTATTAAATGTTAAATTTTTATTTTGGCACTATTTTATTATTTGCTTACAGTAGCATTTCTACAACTAAAGAATAACAAATATAATTATTCAACCATTGAATTATTTGTAATAATATATTAGATAGGGTGATATTTTATTATATATTTAATATTATCATTTTTGAAAATTAGAAATGTTAGTTATGCTTAATGTATGTTCAAAGCAACGTTTTGTTAATTATTCTAAAAAATAATACTCAATTCAGATTTTAAAAAAGAAATTTGAAATTTCTGACAATTTATTCAAAATAAAAATTAATATCTAATGTGCATTTTTATTAAAATATTAGTTCTGATTATATTAATATTTAGTTATAAATAATATAAATAAAATCTTATTACACAACATACAATATTGCTTATATTGTATTATATTTGTATATATTTCATTTGAATGAAATTTAAATTTTTAAAAATATTTTTATTAATGATTTTTTATCATTAACTATTAAATTATAAGCTATCATAATGTATGCGTCCTCTGAAATATATTGCACAGTGTTCAGATTTCATTAGCTTTATATTTTATTTGATCATCTTAATGCATTTTGAATGTCTTGCATCTTGTCTGTCCCAACATTGTTAAGAGAAATCAATCGTATATTTTTATTTTCAATTACATCAAATTTTACATATTATAGATCAGCAGTACTATTCGCACTAATATAAAATATAATCATGTATCCACCAAATAATTTTAGATTATATCAGTGATATACAATATAGGAAACTAATTGATTTGTCTAATATTAATTATTCACTTCTAGAAAGCGCAATATTTTTTGTATAGATATAGAAAAGTTGTACAAAGACGAAAGTTTATAACATTGCCGGTGCGGAAAGGAGCGATGCGAAGATGATGAGTATCAAAGAACATGATAGTACATGTGGATCAATTTTTATGAACACAAACACTGGGGTAAAGGGCACACTATAAAGAAATTTTATGTTTGCTCTATCAACTTAATTATCTGATTTTTCGTTGATATAAATAATTCATTATAGTTTTCCATCATTGTTATTTTGTATTTTTATAATTTGCATCGCTTTTGCTCTTATATGTTTAATTAACTTTTTTTACAGATGGTAAACACATTGTTGGACATAACATAGCATATTTTTTTTAGCAGCCACAATGTTTAGTAAGAAACATGCTTATATAATAAATTTTATTAATATTATTTTGCTACATATTAAGTTTATGCTGTTTGATTTAAATTTCATAATATTAAAATAACGTAAAAAGAGATAATAAGATCGTTATTTTAAAATTTTTACTTTTTAATTTTAAAAATTTAAACAGCATGAATGTTATTTAAGCTTTTTAAGTGTTTCATTTATATATATTTTTGCTTGTAGTAATATATATATGTGTGTGTGTATTTATGTAATCCTCACACGTGCAATTAATTTTTTACTAGCTAACATAAAATATTTAATATTGCTTTTATGTACGGTGATGGATTCTATTCAATATAGTTTTAACATTGCGTGCTAATTTATTAGCATATGCTGCCAAAAAAGGTATGTGTAATAATATACAAAATTAATATAAATAAGCACGCAAAAAATCAATTACATATATTTTTAATTGTTGTTTCCAGTGGATATACTCTTACCTATCTGTTTTTTTAATGCATAAAATGAAATTAATGATATCAAAATCAATAATTAATCAATTTAAAAAATTAATTGTTTTGTATCTGCTGGAAGAAATATACAATTATTTTGAATTTATTATACCCATAAATATTTTTAAATATTAATTTAAATTTTTTAAATATTAATTATAGGATAATAAAATAAATTTTTTAATGCATTTTTCAGGGTGGTTCAAGAAAAAAATAACTTCAAAGAATAAGCTGCGTTAACGCAGCATGACACCAGATAATTGATAAAGGAAATATATGAGAAATTACATATGCACTATATAAACGTCAGTGGTAAACTTTGCTATTGAGAAGACTAATGTAACAATGGAAATATTATGAATAATGTTTCTTACGAAAAGAATATATTATTTTATTATATGGAAAGAAATAATGAATTTTGTAGTTAGATATTAAGAAATAATGGAACTGTTGTTTGTCACAGTTACGCAATTAATAGATATAAAAAAGCATAATTCAAGAATTATTAAATTCATGGAAATTACAGAATAGTAGTTATTGTTTAAATATTATTTCTGTTACATAAAACATGCTCAGGTGTGTTTAAAGCCTTCATAGTTTATTTAAAATTTATTATTCATAAAATTATTCATAGAGTAAAATGTACGCATGCTACGCTTAATGAAACGCACGAATTTTAATTTTGAATGATAACGTAAATATTTTTACTTTTTTTTTTTTTAATTATTACCAGAATTAAGGTCTTAAATAATTTTCATACTGTTAATGAATTTGTATACAAAGCTGAAATCGTTAATGAATTAATGTGCAATAAATATATTCGTATAATCATTTGTATAAAAGTATACATAGAGAATTCAATATGTGGCTTTTTAAAGCAATTTCACGAACAAATAATTTCATAAAATATAAATTTTATTGAATCAATTCTAGGGAATTTGTAAATTTGTTCAAAAATATATTTGAACACGTTAGAATATAATGAAATATACAAATTTATATTAATAAATCTATGGTTCAAATAATTTGTAAGTACGAAATTTAAACAATAACGTAAAGTAAACTGTATGTAAATGGGGCATTTAAAAGAGCGTTTGTTAAAGTTTTTATGTATTAGTTTATTTTACAAAACAATATAATTTTTATTATAATCTAACGTTACAAGATATAAAATAGGTAATAATACTCTATTTATGATATATTAAACATTTATTTCTTAAAATATCATTGTTTCGTTTATTTACAAGCTTGTATAAGATTTAACACGTAGTACTTATACATTAAATGTTTTACATTTAGGAAAATAGATAATAAAAAGCTTATTGTTTTATTTCACGTTATACAATATACAAATTTCAATAATAATTTGTAATTATAGTGAATGATGTCATTTATTTACATTTTATAATAATAATCCTAAGTTTTAGTATAGGATATCTTTAATCAAATATTTGCTATAAGTTTAATTATTCAATACATTTTTTAATTCTCCTTAGGACATTATCAAAGGCGGTAATAGCATTTTTTTTTTAATACACTATATTTATTATGACACTATAAAAAATTTTAAAATCTATTACATGTCAATTAAGTAATTGTTTTGTATTTAATACACCTAATTATCATTATTATCATTACTTAATTTAGCATAGTTTGTAGAAATCCTAAAATATAACTACCTAAATCTTCATCTTGATTTGTCCATGAAACATACACGCTTTTTTGATCATCTTCATCACCTTCTACTTTTACTAAAACAGATTCAACAGATATTGATCCGTCTGTTAATTGAACTGTCCAACCTGATAATCTCTCTTTTAATGGTTGTAATAATTTTAAAGTTGTTGAATGTGCTGGACCAGGGTCTCTTACTTGCACAGTGGACGTAAATCGTACTATATGTTTGGTTATACCTGCAGCTTTTGTTACCTTCAAATAAGTTTTTATTTATTATGTTATGTATATTTTAATAAATATATAATTATATATAATTGGGAAATGAAGAAAATGCAATAATTACTTCATCTGCGTCTACAAGACATACTCCATCTTCTCGTAGCATTAAAACGCTGTGGAGTAATCTTCGTCGCTTAGGATCTGGTGGCAAAGCTGAATATCTTTTGGCTTCAGACTTTAATAACGCTAAGGAAGCGTCTACTGGCACTTTAGCAATGGTTGTAATAACACATGTTTCTCCATTTGCAGGGTTATAACAATTTGTTCCAAATTCTTGTTTTATTTTTTCTTTTAAAAATTCCATTTTAGCAAATTCTCCATGTACAAGCATAACATTTTTTGGTTCGCAATACTGTATTAATTGCATAATACCTTTTGCATCTGCATGTGCAGAGAAAGACATATACTCTACTGCCATTTTAACTTCGACAATCTGTCGGTTCTCAAATTCAATTCTTCTAGAACCATTTAAAACTTTATGTCCAACAGTACCCTGAACGCAAAACCCGGGCATAATAACCATATTTGCTTCGTTTGGGGCCCATTTTTTAAAAATTTGTAAAGATAATCCTGCATGCAACATGCCTGGGGTAGCAAATACTACCATAGCTCCAGGATTATCAATATATGCTTTATCAAATGGTTTTATATGTTTAAAATCAAACATATTTCTTTGTACAAAAGTTTTTTTAATTTTTTGATTAGTCCAAGTAATAAACATTTTATAATAATTATTAGCTTTTTCAGTTAATCCTAAAGCAAAATATACAGGAACTTTTAAATTCATTCTCTCCCAATATGTTTCTAATAATATACATAATTCTTGTGCACGTCCAAGAGCAAATACAGGGATTAATACTTTGCCACCTCTATCTATGCATTCATGAACCTAAAAAGTAACTTATAAATCTCATGTAAAATGCAATAAATATACAGTGTCCATCATTTTTACATACTTTCTTTAAGAAGTCTCTTTCTCTACATCTCTTAGAATCTCTAATAGTTGTTGCATATGTTGACTCTGATATTAATAAATCTGGTCTACATTTATCTATCCATGCAGCACCTAAATGTCTATCAGGAGTCATATTGTAATCTCCTGTATATACAATCGATTGTGAACCAACTCTAATCCAGAACATTGCAGCACCAAGTACATGTCCTGCATAATATGCTTTTATTTCCAATTCTGAGTCAACCATTACAGATTGATGCAATGTAACAGCAATAACTTTTTTCATACAGTCTTTTATCATTTGTGAGGTAAAAAAGTTACTTTCTCCTTTACGTTCTACTGCAACTTTTCTCATATCTTCAAGTAAGATTGGTGCAATGGCTTTTGTTGGATGTGTCATATAAATTGGTCCAGTATAACCTACCTGTAAACGAAATCATTTTTTTTGTTTTAACTGTTTCAACATGTAATTTGTACGACTTACCATTTCTGTAAAATATGGGAGAGCACCACAATGATCTAAATGAAAGTGTGAAATAATCACACAATCAATGTAATTAGTTGCTGGACCTTCTGGGATTATATATGAAAAATCTGGGAATCTTCTTTCATCGTTGAAACCCATATGCATGCCACAATCCAGCATAATGTTCTTTCCACCCATTGATACAAGAATGCAGCTTCTTCCAACATCTTGACCAGCCCCCAAAGGGGTTACTTTGATATCTGGCATTTTTCTTTCAAATAATGATTTTCAATTAAAGTAATACATTCATTTTATTTAGAGAATAACATTCATTATATTAAATAAAATTAATTTTATAAAAGAGAATGAAAAATATGTTGTTGAATTTTTAGTCAATGTAAACTTTATATCATTGCAATTGTTATTACTGTCAGTAGTTAATTGATATATAATTTTATTTATAATATTTGATATGTTATTAGAAATGGCCAATTAAAAAATATTAATTAACGATCACTGCTATTATTTTTTTATAATCAAGAATGTACAATCCTCGTTGACACATGTTATTAACCTATACTTACTAACAACACAATTTTTAATAAACATAACCTTTAAGCTGCATTCAAAATTTCGTTAATATAAAATTTTTAATTGATATGCAGTATTCTTGAAATTATTATTATAATTAATAATGTTTTATTTATTTACAATTACTAATAACTTATACTAAAAAATTTATAAATTTAAAATTATAATTTTACTTGTATCACGTAGTCAATAGTATTTAAATCTAAGGTGAATTCAAACTGATTACAAAAATTACTTTTAATAAAATACAAGTATACAAATATTATAAGTCTCAAATTTGGCAAATGATGTTTCGTATTATCTTAAAAAACTCCAAACGATAAATTTCAGCGGTTAACTTCCAAATATAAGCGTAACTTTCAGACATTTATAAGTTTCTAAATCACAACTATCTGGGAAGGCAGGTATGAAAGCAGACTCTAACACAGTTTCAATACTTTATTCATATAATTTCGTAGTTACGGCATTATTTCTATATATTTACATGTCCCCAATTTTCCCAAGAGAACTCGTAATGCGTGCCTGTGCGCGCACTACCATATTATCTGTGTGTACGTGTACATGTATCTGTATGTGGTTATGTGTATTTGTGTCTGTTGTAAACGATATCGTCCACAATGTTTCATACTTTTTTCTTTTTTTTTTCTAGTTGCTTACATTTTGTCGTCATCTTCATTCGTGTCCTATAAAACATAGAACGCTACGGCGAAAGAAAGAGAAACTGCGAATTGGTTGCATGGATCGTCGTGTTGTATTTGTGGCGTCGAAGATCTGCGCATTTCTAAAGTTCAGAAATTCTAACAAAAACGGCACAGGAGGCTTCGCATTGACATGTAAAAAATCTAAATGCATTATTTACGCTACTGCTCGTATTTTATATATTTTTCGCTCGTATTCACATTTAGTTCCTGAAAACGAAATGGGGCTGGCCCGAGCCATGTCGAGAGAACAACGCCGAGCCGACAAATAATCGGCTCGATCGTTTTTCCTCTTTCGTCGCAGCAGAACACATGTGTGCGAGAATACGTGTATCCACGCGCGCCACATACGAATGCATACGTGTATATACCCTTTCCTGTCCGAGGAGGATCGATTTCCGATACAAGTATATACGCACTCGAATCCTATTATACATACACACATATAATAGTATACATGTAATATGTATACGTGTAAAAACCGGGAGCTTTAGTTTATTAAAGAACAAAAAAATATTCCGCGACCGTTGTTGATCATTCAGTTTTGCGTTAACTCTGTTTCTCTTCTTTTATTGTTTCAACGTTTCTCCCTGTCTCCAACATAGGGTTGCGTTCTCTTCTCCAGTCTGTCCACGAACAGAGAGTTATTTTGTCACTATCTATAGACTGAATCGGTTTATTGCGCCCGAACGTATGATAACTGTACAATTGTAAAATATAATTCCATCTAGCTATAGCGACTCTAGTTACACTTGTGTGTGAGCTTATTATTCTTTTTCCCCCTTTTTTTAATTCTTTTCTGATTTTTGTTTGCATACTATCCAACGACTTTCGTTTCGCGATTATCAGTGTCACGCTATAATTTTCTGCGTACGGGCTCGATCTTTCTTTTTTTTTTTTCTTTCCTTCATCTCGCGCATACATACAAAACACGCACGTTCCGCTACACACGTACACGACATTCATTCCACGTTTACTTCTCTTCCGTTTGTCTCGCATTCTTTTTTTCTCGTACACTTTCTTCGCTGCTGCCGCACTACGTATTTTAATAGTTAAGTTTCAAGTATGGCGTTATTCCGCGACACGCTTAAGTTCGAAGTCGTTAATGCATTAAGTTAATTTAGAGTAACATTTTGCTCGATAAGATATTCTTATTAGAAGTTAATTAGTTTCGTATAAATGTTAATTGTCAGTACACCGAAGGATATGCAGATAGGGAGTTTGGAGGGCAGTGGTAACAATATGTTCGCGTTTTCTCGATGGGTGAACACGTGTTTCTGATTGATGGTGCGATATTCTCGTGGCACGCGATGCCACAACGAGATATAGCGAAAAGTCAGTTACAATTTTTCATTTTCAAGAGAAGAAAGGGGCAAAATTACGTTCACACTACGGTACTTTCATATTAATGAACACGTAGTTATACATCGTCGAAGAATTATGATCGCAAGAAGTGATGTAGTCAACTAATCTGATAACCGAGCGCTCGATCCTGTGCAGAAGACACATGACTCTATGGTTTTCTCTGGTCGTTCCGAAGACAAATGACTTATGCGTTTATTGTTAGAGAAAATTATCTTTGTACTTAATCTTTGTTTCAAATGCATCATTTGTTCGTATATGTGCTATAAAAGGGGTAGGTATATTTAATCGCACTTGCACGGTTTGAAACGGGCGTTGTTTTATGAAAATTGCAATGTAATTGGTGATACGTATACAATTGAAATTGTTATATACAACAGCGTTTCCTTTATCCAAATTTATATTCTACGAATATCTTAATATCCAATTATTATATTATTATAATAAAATGTTTAAGTTGTGTCTAATTTTCCAATTATAGTAAATGATCTTCCTCGGTAATACAACATTCGAATATTAAGATATTATTTGAAAAATAGTGATTCAGATAAAAGAGATTCTGCTGTGTTGTGTTTTATTTTTTAAACGAAGATGAAGGAATAATATAAGAAAAGATTGAATTTAATGAAGTTGTAAAATGATCTCTTTTATTTTTAACAAAGTTGTCGAAATAAAATCTTGGAAGGACAGCAGGAAAAGACATTTCAACTTTTAAAGAATAACAAGACGTTGGTAAATATTTCTGAATAATCATTAAAGTTATATAAATAAAATATAACGGGAGAAGATATTTCAGTTTTTTTTAAAGAAGAATAGCAAAATATTTTTAAATATTTCTGAATAATCATGGAAGTTATTCGAATAAAATACAGCAGGAGAGAAGACACTTCTCGTTAAACGCATTGATAAAAATAAGTGCTTCCTGTTTTATAAGTAGGAATAAACTTATTTAATTATGCAATTCACCTGAAGATAACAAACGATATCTATAAAATTACGTGATTGAATACGTGTAAGGAAACGAACATCAGTTATTAACAGTGTAATAGATAGATGCCAGGTTTTAAGCAAGCATTGTCATGTTATGTTACCATTTGTCTCCCTCTTAATACGAAAGTGCCATGACGTTTTATTAACTATGAATATACGGATTGTTTCATGCTGAATTCTGTGTTATTATCATTCATTCCTAAGCGCGACCCGGGAGAATTTTCTTCCGTAACTAGAATAATGCCAAAAAAAAAAATGATATTTGTGGGATGTATAATCGGAGGAAATGCTGCGTCGACAATATCACAGCGATATCGTTAAGACTGCCCACTCAACTTTAGCCACGTAAATATACAAAATCCACATCGACTTGTCATTTTTTTTTTTTTTTTATATAGCCTACAATTGATCTCGATGGCGTAACGAATCTAGCAAAGTCGAAAGAGCATAGATTATTGTGCCGTTTTTAAGCGTCGTGCGTAACAACGTTCGATCGTTTTGTTCGATCAAATCGATTCAACGAGATGTCGCGCGAACGATAAAAAACGAACGATGAAAACAATAAGCAAAAACGAAAAAGAAAGAGAAAAGAAGCGAAAAATTACGCTCGTGACCATTCTACAGCCCTTTTTATCAGCAAAAATCGTGCTACGTTTGGACTTATCAAGCTCTTGTGCGATTAAGATATGAAACGGTGTTTCGATGTTTTTCTTCGTAATTTTTTTTTACTTTCATTTTTCTCTGTTTTTTTTTCTTTTTTAAATTAACTTTTAAAGAGTTCAAAAACAAGTCTTGGTTGTGTAGGAATATTTTTCTGCACAAGCAAGGTATAATCCTTTTGACGAAGGTACGTTCAATCGATACACGCAAATAGATGCGAGCATCGGATGATACGTGTATATACTAAAGATCCCTATTTCACGTGTATGTAAATATACATATATACATATAGTAATCGAATTTAGATCTAATTTTTAATACGCGATTACTCGTGCGTTTCACGAACGTAACATTTGAAAATCACATGTAGGAAAACAGGAACGTGCTTCGTCAAGTCATCTATCTGTCAGTTGTTTTTAAATACTGTCTTCTTTATTAATCGTCAGGTAAAATTGCAATGCATATTGAAGCGATTTTGATAAAATGGGAGGTGGAGAAATCTTGTAATATTTCATTATAATGGGGAGATTCCAAAGAGACAATTGTAAGAATTTGTAAGAAATTGTAAGAATTGTAAATAAAAGTCGGACTGTCGTTTTTTTCTTCTTTTTCATAAAAATGCTTTGACGCTTATAAGAATATAAACTGATTTTTAGTTTTAAACATACCATATGTACACGTGTATTTTAGTCCACGTTCAAAACCGTGATCTCTAGTATATAGCATATGTACGTTTATCGAATATGCCTTACAGAGAATCTCTCCTTTGTATTTGTAAAGAGAAAACAAAAAAATCAATACCGTATTTATAAACCGTGGAAAGGTACTGTGATTCGTCTTCGTGATATTTTGAATTCGTCAAAAGAGAACGTTTCATCGATTTCCTCTTTCTTCTTATGAAACGGACAATCGTTCGTTTTGATATGCGTTGGAATCGTGGTCGGTTTGGTTCGTACCTCGGTCTCGGAGTTTCTTCTAATTAAAACGCGTTAATTGTGCTTCCCTGAGAGCCTATACTCCGACATTGTCGAAAGCGACGCTGCACCAAGGTTCTTTCACCTTTATTCTACTCGTGAATATTATCAAGTCGCTTTTGCAATCGACTGGGAAAATAAGCCTGACAGATAGATTTATTTTCAATAAAAATCGTAAACTTTCATCGTATCACCGTACTAATTGTAAGTTTCTTATATCGGAAATATTCGAAATCTTTGAAGCGTATATTAAAAAGAGAGAATTCGAACGTCTAAAACAGAGAAGCTCGAACGATAGAAAAATTGGTTGTCGATCAGCAATTGGACAATCAGTCAAGTACTTAAAAATCGCGATGTAAATAGAAAAAACGGAGCGTGTTTGCGGCTAGGATATTCGAAAATTGCGGCCTATTTGATCCGCGTGATGGGTGGAAAGCGATAAAAGTACATCTGTCGTTAACAATCGGAGGAGTAATTGAACTAGAACGATATGATGTTTCGTAGGATCGTCAGGACACGCGTCAAGGCGCGTAAAACGTGAATAGCAACGACTGCGTTTCGACTTAACGTTGGACAAGTAAGTATAAATATAATACGAGAATCCTAGACGAACTTTCTACAAGTTGTTTGAGAGAATGGTGCAAAGTTGAATCGCGAACAAAGAACAAACTCGTCGGCGTTCCTCGAACTCTCTTAACCACCATGGAATCCTTTCAAAGAACCTAGAGACGCGATTCGAATTATCATTCCATTTTATGGAAAATCGCGGGAGATAAGATAACGAAGAAGCTGAGGAAATTTTACATTTTTTTCTTTCTTCTCATCTCTTTCTTACTTATCTTTATTTTTTATTTCACCTTTGTTATCTTTATTTTTCTTCTTTTCAATTTTCTATCTGTTCCTTCCTTTTTGTTCTAACGAGACTTAGGATTTCACGATGGTTCGAGGTACGCCTGTCTAGAAAAAAAATGGCGAGTCCTCGGTTCACGCTGAACATTTTACAAAGTATTATACCTTATAAGCCTTTAACAATCGGACGTTTTATCGTATCTCGTTTCTTTTTTTCTCCTTTTTTCTTTTTTTTTCTTTTTTTTTCTTTTTTTTTTTGATCAATGGCCGAAAGATCCCCCCCCCTCGACCGTGTCTTAAGCATCATCTTCACATTCTCTCTCTCCCTTTCGTTCATCCGCGAGTTACTACATACCATTACTTATCGTTTCGACGAAGAACCGATCGTTCTAGGAGCGTGCACGTTCGAAGAATCAAATGGCAATCATCTTTGGAACCGAGTATATCGAACGATCTTAAATTAATCTAGCTTTACAGATTCCTCTTCTTGTCACTATCACGTTTCGTTATTGCTTTTTCGCGAATCGATTCTACGATTTTTCGCGTTTTTTTTTTTTCCCCCGAATGACACACTCTCACGAGAAACGTTTCAAAAGATGTCTTTTTCTCGATTGGAAGATATTTTGGTGAGTTCGGGTCTGCTTAAAGAAGTCTCAGCGGAAATTTGGATAATTTACTAGCTTTGTAGCAATAAGAATGATCGAATTGCAGCGATAAATAGCGATCTAGCTGAGATTTAGTGAAGGGAATGTCTAAACACGAACCAGTTGAATTATTTGCTAGTCTAGACTGGTGCTACTTTAATTAATAATATCCTCTGATCATTTAAAATCTAGACAATGACATTTTAAGGAATATTTATACATCATACACTTCCCTAGAAGAAGCGAAAAACAATTTTTGACAATCGTCAAACGAATCAGAGAAAGAGTAATACAATTATTCTCTAACAGCCAAAATGAATAAATGAATAAGATTTTCATAATTAGCCAAGAAGTTGTGTTATCTTTATCGCAGGTATGCAATAGAAATAATATTAATACGTATCGAAATTTACAAATGTTACTTTAACATATCTATATCACATTATATAGGAATCAAAGTATCAAAAGTTGAAATACTTTCAGATTTATTAGATATTAATTCGACAGAGTAGAACGGCAATCTGTACTTGTAATTCGAATAAGAACACCAGTCTCGACCAGGTATCAGAAAGCAGGGAACACCGAGCAGGGTGGCATACGAAAATATAGAATATTTCACAGTTATATTTTCGTCGCATAGAAAAGGGAAGCTGTGCTTTCGGGTGCAAAGATATCCGTGCGTCGTAAGAAGAGATTCCATCGACGACAGGAGGCTGGAAGAGTAGCCCCCGGAGAGTTTCTATAAAGGCGGCAGAGTTCGATGAAAACCGTTTCGAACATCCACGAAAATCGATTTCAGTATATAGTTAACCCTTTGCAGCCCTTTGTTTCGAGGATCTATGCAGTGAGATGTTCAATTCATACAGAAAATTTTATTTCGACTGACGAAGCTCGGTACACAGAGGTATACAGCGGGATATCTGACAGAGCTATCGCAGAAATACTGAACGAAAAGAAATATTTTCGAAAAGAGACCAAAAGATATTACAGCGCCTGTCCATTGAACTAGGATCACCTTTAATTTTCCATATTTTACATCTTTTTGGTACAATCAATTTAATGATAAATTTGATCAATTATTAACATCTTGTTTTCCGTGTTTTACATGAATCTTTCCTGGCATACTTCGTACGTACTATGTACTGCTTCACCTTTTCAATCTTCCTTTCCATAATATCAATAATATATTTTTAAAGTGGAGCATTCTCTCAATCGTCTAATGCCCTCCATTATTGATTGTTTATTCGATTTTATCGCTCGCGCCACAAATAATTCAGTAATAATAAATGATAAAATATGACGTGCAGTAATATACAAGTTGATTTGCAATCAGACTTGCGCTTGGATTCTTCCATTTTACTAAACTCGTGTAGAGCTCGAATTGAAAATTCCAAGTAATCCTGGTTCAATGGTCAGAGACAGCAAGATACGAATAATTTTCTAAGAAAAGGATACGAATAATTTTCTACAAAGGAAACAGCAAAAGCTTCCCATAAAGGAAAAACTGCGATACTGAAATATCAAAGTAACGAGATATTAAGAAACAATGAGTGGTATCGGACATCAAAGGGTTAAACATCGGTTAAACTCGATTCATAGTTTTTGGCAATACTGCATTCACACCCTGTGTATATGTATAAGCATCGATCTGCGCATGGCTACGTGTCATTTTACTATTTCGACAGTGTCCTCCGAGCGTTTTTCGCGCGCTTCACCCACTTCACAGGTTACATCTCCGCGTTCCCCAAGAACGCGTGAGAAACTTAATGCGTTAATACACCGACGTTACTTTGAGTCATTTTTTTCTTTCTTTTTTCATTTTCAAACAGAACAACGCGGACTATCTCGTTCGCTTTCATACGGTTTCACCACGCACACCGTAACACGTACTTACTTGCACGCTCTCTTCCATTGTTGTGTTAATAAAATCTATAATTTAATAAACAATTTACACGTATAACATAATCGATAAATATCGTGTATGTATATATATATATATTTTTTTTTTTCTTCTATACAACAATAAGTTCATTAATCGCTAGATAGGATCGTTCGTATTGATACTTTCGTCTTTGCGCGTTAATTCCAACACTTTTTCGTTCCCACGCTGCGCACGTTAAGTACATCATGGACTATGGCAACGTTTAAACGAAAGCAAATTTCTTTTCTTTTCTTTTTTTTTTTTTTTTTCAATATTTTCTCGAGCCTCGAAATACGTCGCGACACCTTCTCATACGTAAGTACCATCTATTTTTGAATAATCATTTTTTTTCTTTTTTTCTTTTTTTGAAACGCGGCCTAAAGAAGGATCATGCGTATGAATGCTATCGCAATACGTGATAAATCTTTTCATATACAATGAATATAATACACAACTAACAATATTACTATAGGAACGAGGAAGAAGTTTGATTTCACGAGTCTATATAAGAATCTGCATAGTCTCACATAGTCTCTTTCTCTCTGTTTCTCTGTTTTTTTTTCTTTTTTCGAAAGTTGCAATCGTATTTCAAGGGTTCGATGATCGCCAAATTTCGTCGCCTGTGCTCGACATCGCGCTAGCGCCGGAAAAGTGCTGGACTTAAAGCCGAGCGTCGCTCTAACGAAGAGTAATAACGCCGTGTTTCACGTCCGCCGCCTCTCTCGGGCATGTTTTCGATCGGCACAACCATTCGATACATTTTTCCAACGCACCTACGATGCCTCTGCCACTTCCCCCCCCCTTTTTTTTTCCTTTCTTTCGCTTCTGCGTCTCCTCCTTCTCTTCTTCTTCTCTTTCTTCTTCCCTGCTCGACGTGATCAGTCTTGGCTTTTCCCGACGCTCTACAATGCCGATCAACGCCACAGTCCCCCGAATTCTATCAAAGTCTACCTGCTGATCTTCGATCGTGGACGCACGCAGTTTCTGCCAACAGGATCGTCGTGCGTAGCATCGACCAGGTTCGATCACCGTCGACGTACCATTGGATATGCTTGTTGATTCACCTAACGTTCTCACCGACGCTTGTCGAGATGCCGAGGAGATCCGATCTTCCGAACGCGAACCTGACTGTTCAACCGTACCGACGATCAGTATCACCACGTCTGAAGTAGTTCGTGACGAGAACAAATCGAAACGAGGAATCCCGCGTTGCCGAGCACTGTCCTTGCTTGTCCGTCGCGTGTTTCACCGAGGAACACACCTCGTTTCTATCAAACGTGTCCAAAACTATAATAGCTAATAGTTCCCCTAGCACCAACGAAGGACTTAAGAAGAGGCTCCACACGTTCTTCGTGTTAAGTTCTCAGTAGCTCGTGTGTGTGTGTGTTGTGTCTGTGTGTGTACGCAAACCACACGAGAGTTTCGAAAGCACGTGCGTGCAACTCAAGTGGACGCATGGATCTCCAACACCGGCCATCTCTACACGTACCACTCTTTGATGTCTATCAGTTCTCGTTTCTTGTTGGTTTTGCTGCCGTTGGCGCCGTTTTTCAGGGGGCCGTTGAACGGCTGGCCGGAACCGGCGGCGCCGAGCAACGCCGCGTTTGGATCCTGGCAGAAGGTCTTCGTCTCGTCGACCTTGTAGCTGGTCTCCGGACGATTCTTGAACTTGAGGATGATGAGGATGATAAGCACGATGGCGATCAACGCCGCGGCTATGATGCCGATTATCAGAGCGGCGTTCTCCGCCGCCTCGGACGTTATCCTCTTGTTGTTGTTGTTCTTTGGCGGTGTTGGTATTGGCGGGTACATCGGGGGTGGAGGTGGTGGCGGTGGGTCCGTCATCTCTGTGGTGGTCGTTTGGGTCGTCACGGTTGTCGATCTCTGCGTCACGACGCTACTGCAACAATTTAAGAGTCATATTCGTCAGTGTTTCTTCTAACTAAAAAAGCGTTCAAGTTTCTTAACTAAAAGTTTAGAGCGAATATTTCCAATCGAAGGTTTCAGTCGTTGCACGCGCTTGCAACGAAATGTTTAAAACGTTTATTGTAGATGTAGGTATCTGACTGAATGTTTAAAATAAAACTGTGAATATTTTCAATCGGAGGTTTAGTCATTGCAGATGTTTGCAGCTGAATGTTGAAAGCGAGTCATTGTAAACTCTTTGAACTGAATGTTTTGAGCGAGTACTTTCAATTGAAGTTTTATTGTACTGTGAATGTTTTAGAACGGAGTCACTGTGAATTTTTTTCAATTGAAGGCTTGATCCTTTATGTGCGTTTGCAACCGAACGTTTAGAATGAATATTTCAAATGGAGCTATTGCGTATATTTGCAAGCGAACGTTTAAAAAAGAACTATTTGATACTATGTAATATGTAATTGACAAATTTTGTTATTCAACCAGTTATTAAATTATAGCTACTAAGAAATTCATAACGTTCGAGTAAAAATGTGCAATGTAGTTAAAAGAAGAACAGAATTATCTACTATAAAAATACTTCAAGTTTTAAATTTTACAAATGTCTCATATATTTTTAAAAATTTCAGGTGATTAGAAGTCAACAATTAAATTTAAAAAGTTTTAAGTATATTGTACATACACTACTTCTCATATTTCACAATTTTGTCACACATAACAAGTGTGTTTTAATTTTTTTTTCAAAGATTTTATCAGTTGCGAGAAATATGTTGAGAATTTGATAGAAGGAAAAATTGTACATTGATTGTTGTAATATTTAAGATATTGAATATTTCAGTATTAATTTATGTTAACATATTATTTAAAACTAATAGCTACGAGAATTTATTTCTCCGAATACACCTAGATATATCTGAAAATTGATGACGATATTTGCAAATTATCTGTCAACTTTTATTTAGAACATTTTTACCAACAAAGATGACGAAAGATATGTCTGACAAGTTGTGACGGAGTAATAATGTTAAAACAGAAATTACTGACATGTTCGTTTCTGAACATTAAAATCGAAATTAATTTCGCTGAGTAATACCTACAATCAGCAATCAAATTAACTGACAGTTTTAGATATCGGATAAATCAATTAAAAGTGTAAATTGCCGAATTATATTTCACATTGATTTATATAATGCCGTTAATAATGCTGAATATTAGTAAAAAAATACTTTCACGAAATTAATTTTTTAAATGATTTTAATAAATGGAAGGAAATTATTGATAGACATTATTATTAAATATCATTCGTCAATTTTATAATTAATTTTGTAATTATTAATATGGAAATAATCGAAATTGTCTTTATGTATGATTACATTATAAAGACATTATAGGTATCCACTGTTTTTCTCTAAAGTCAGTCCTTTCGAGATCAAACAATATATTATCAGATTATTAAGCCATACCATGCATTATTTAACATCAAATTGAAAGAGAATTTTCTTCGCGTCAAAATAACTTTTAATTTTTACAATTTTTCCGAATAAATTAATCAGAAATTGTTCTTGTACAAATCAAGGAAAATGTAGTATAATCCTATAAAAGTAAGAAATTTAAAACATTTCAGTTTCATAATATTACGCAACACCTAAAATACTAAAGAAAATGAAATTCTTGCAAATCCCTTCGTTCTGAATTTTTAAATTAAATTACATCCTACCAAAAATAAACAAGTGCATATGTATCATAAAGCTCTATACACGTAACACTATCTATCGGTCAACAATTTAAGATTACTTCTCCAGCTGAGATTGTATCACCTGTTAATTCTATTACATGCTAACTCAAAACCAATACTACAGCGACACCGATTACAACAAATTATCAAAAAAAAAAGAAAAGAAAAAAAAAATGCCTTTCGAAAGTGCGAAAATCCGAAATCGATATTTTTAAAAAACTCCCATAAAAAGTACCGATCCCAGATCCTTACTTGGTCAATGGCTCGTACCGAAAAACAAAAGTAAAGTAAATCCACTTCACGGGGACACCCGAAATCCTCCAGAGGGAGAAAAATAGAAGAAGGGATCGTTGCCCGATGAGAACTAGTGGGAAAGTTAGCGCACGCGAGCGGCGACGCCGGAACCGACGTGTCACCGGAAACGATATATGTAGCGAAGCGAGCACGATCAACAATCGCCCGGGCGATTCGGCCCTCGAATTCTCTCGCGTTCTCCGACTCACGACGTCGGCTCGTACCTCGCGAGAAACACTGGCAAACTCACCTGGCGTGGCTGGTTTCGAGGTCTGTGGTTGACACATTGTACTGGACGGAGTCGGTGACGATGTCCCGGGTCGATGTCGACGGCGAGCCTGGAGACGTTTGCGTGCTGATGTGGCTGGTCGTGTACTCGCGGCCCGTCGTGTACGCCACCGAGCTCGAGTCTGCTTTCGAAAATGGAAACAAGAGAGAGAGAGAGAGATAGAGAGTAGCGTCAGCCGGTTGCTGCAATTACGCGTATCCGATTGGCTCGAACCAGGGGGATGGGGTAGTAACGTGCTACCGACAATATTTACGCGTGCGTAGGCCGGCGATATTCACGCGTGCGTGGCCAGCAGCCACGTTGCGAGCACCCTGACGCCTGCCACTCGTGTCTCGCCGCTTCCAGGGACAATCGTTCGATCACACACACGTACACAGATCATCCTCTCCTATATATACATACGTACGCATGCACCCGGCTCCTGCCGCGGTTAATTGTTTCCCTTTTTCACATTTGCCCTTTTGCAACGTTTCGCGACGAACACGGGGATTTGTGTGTAGAAAGAAAAGGTACGAGAGTGTCTGGTATAAATTGGAGTGACTGTGGTTGATAGTTGCTCTCGTGATAATTTCTAATTGGGACTTTTGTACGGTGGATGATTGTTATATGTACATATGTATGTTTTAAGGAAAGTTAATTCTGCGAGGGTCTTGGAATTTCTGTGTTCCTACTGTTGCCTGTGATTGAAAGTCCATCTAACGATGGGTCCTTAATTGGAACTTTCCTCGGAGGACGAAGAACGTACATGCATAACGGAGTTCAGAAAAAGTTAATTCTGTCGTGGTTCACTGTTCTTCTTAGCTAAAGTATACCGTCTAGTACTTTGAAGCGGAAGTTATACTATATCCTTCGTTCAATTTAACTCTATCCGTTTCCATTTCCTCCGCTGCAGATGTTTTTTATGCAAATTTTAGAACACTTCATTCGTGAAAATTAGTAGAATTTAACTACACATAAGATTTAAGAACTATGTACGTTTTAATAATATCTAGTGAAATATAATATTTATTATATAACTTCCTCGTTGTCTCAGAACAATTTATATAATTTGTTATTTTGTTCGAAAAAGAAAAAAGAAAAAAAATAAAGAAAGTATCTAGCGAACTTCAAATATTGTACGAATTTTTTTCAATTCTGCTACAGTCACCGATATGTCTCTTCTTCTTTAAAATTGAAACATCACCTTAATAATATCCCTCTCCAAATTGAAGAAACTACATTCTTCGTTAAACGAAGAAATCTGTCGGCTGGTTTAGGTTCGTTCACGGTTCGTTGAATGTTGAAGTGGATTTGATAGTGGCTGATGATGAAGTGGCGAGATTAAGCCGAGTTGAGCAGTTACCAACTTGTGTTAATTTTGAGTTACACTCGAGTGAACTTGCAAGGGTTGCTGTCAGTCGAAAGTTTAATACGAAGTTTACGAGGATGCTTGGAAGATTCGTGAAAATAGAGGACACGGCAATAAATTGCTTCTCATTAATTCCCATTAAGCAGTAAAAGGAGACAGCTTTCAAAGTGTTTGTCTTATTAATAGTATTTATTCTAAATGCACCGATTGTTCCAACAACATTCGACTGTTTTCTTTTTTTTTCTGGAATTAAAATTTGTTTTACCGCCGAAACGATGCGAAACGATTAGAATCGAAATGTTCGCGGGGGTCGACGATCGTTAAAGAAACCATCTTGACTAATTGTAAGTCGGTGCACACACGAAATATAAACATGCAAGGCAGAAAGCTCGCTTTACGACGTTCGCCATCGATTGAACTAGTTACAATATGTCTACCAGCTAAGTTCGTTAACCGCTCAGGATTTGCCGAACGAAACAGCTTCTGTTTTCAAAAATAGTAGCTTTTTCGAGCTACGGACGATTCTCAAAAATAAGCGAAAACAAACATTTTATCTCGCAACACACGATCGTGTCTGTGTTTCTCTGAAATTAAGTAATTTAACTCAAGGTATTATCGTTATGGATGACAATTGAAGATCAAATAAGGAGCTGTCATTCTTTCAACATTGTTCGAAGAAAATTTCTTTCTGAAACAGTGCAAAGTTAAATCAAAAATAAATTTGAATCGTAACTTCAATCAAAATTATCTTATTATTTATATTCTACAATATAGTCACTCCTGAAGCTAAAAAATATCAAAAATTTAAGAGATCGATGTCGTATAAAATTAAGAATACCTTTACTCCTATGTAAATAAATAATATCGTTTGATAAACTAATGATTTCGAACATCTCAGATTACCTTGCACGACACGATATGAATTTCAGATTAAACGAAAATCTATAAAGTCTACTGTTCAACTAAATTACCCTATACCATCGCACTTCGTGTTTATTCGAATGTTAAACGATGAAAATTACTCCACGGTATTATAGCTCGAACCTCCTCAAACAACATAACCATAATATGGTAAATAGCGTTCGAGTTGAAAATTTTGCCAAAAGTGATTCTCGTGAATAAAAAGGAAAAAGGAGCCGAAAGAAAAGCGATAAAAAAGAAAGAGGAAGGGAAAAACAAACTTCGAAAGTTGTTTCGAGCGTTTTTTGCCCGAACGTTCGACGCGAAATTGCTTTAACCGCGATAAACGAGCGGCGAGCGAACGACGAGGAGGAGGCTATTCCACGATGAAGAGCGGCGTACTGAAAAGAAGTCGCATCAACGTCGCGTCGCGTCGCGTCGAACAGAGTAGTGCTATTTTCGTGACGGTCAACTTAACCGGTGGCAGCCGGGATCGACGGAGCTTTCACCACGTCAAATTGAGGGATATGCAGATGAAGAGGACCGCCACCGGCCAAGTATTTCCATAACGAGTTTCCATAACCATCTTCTTTTTTTTTTTCTGTTTTATTTCTTTATCTTTTATGTTCTATCTGTCATGTTCTACTACCGCACGGTTATTAACAACAATCTGACATCGGTGATATTTTATTATGGGTTAGTTTGAAATTAAGTTCCTTTCGGTTTTCTGATTTTCTGTTTATATTTATATTCTTATATAGATTTTATTTTACAGAAAGAGCCTAACTGAAGCAATAACAATGAAAAATTGCCGATATTTCAAACTGTTGCGATTTGATGAAAAATAAATTATATATAAGAATCCATTCTCACTGAGAAAGTAAGTCGAGGAATTGTGAAAATTCAAACGTCTCTGGAGACATTGAAAAAAATTTTTTTTTTTTGACCAAATCCACGAAGATCATAAAGATTAAAATTCCTTCTTTACAACGACCTCTTCAAACTTACTATACAATTTTCTTTCTCAATATTTTATTAAACTTTGAATATTGAGATCAAACGACAAGAAATCTTAATATTTTATCCAAACATCTGAAGTTTAATCAAATAATAAGAAAAAAGCATATAAGTTTTAAAGGATCGTTATAAAGAAAAGACTTCAATTCTTCGAGCTCGTAATAGATATAGGTGTGGAAAAAATGTTTCAATGTTTTTAGAGACGTTATACGCAGTACAAAATTAGATTGTAATTAGGGATGCTGGATTCTTTGGCAAAGTGTGGCAGTGTGTAATTTTGAAATGATCAATTCCAATTCGTGATACAGCCACTTGGATCATATGGTGTTTTGTGATTCTTAAAGAACTTGCAACCTTTTTTGGATCCTCATTTTTCATTCCTATTCATTTCCTCTCTCCTTGTTAACCTCATTTTTCATTCTCCTCCTCTCATCTATTCGCGTTAATGATCTGAAAAATCGACGAACCCTGTGTAACGGAGGAGACAGTATGTTCGATCTCGCTGGCAATAAATATTAATGCGGTGCTATCGCGGAGCCAGGAGTTTCACCGGAGGCAGTTTCAAATTTTGACAGACTGTTTTTTCATCGTGCGCGAATTGTACGGTTCTCGACGTTGTTCGACGAACGAATTTCATTTGTTTGTAGTTCAATTTTTTTCCTAGGATTTATTATTGTAACGAATTCTAAATTTTACTTTCAGATTCGAAAGAAATTGAAAATACAAGCGGCACAGTTCAGCTTGTTTAATTTTCCTGGCATTTCTTATTTTCAGTACAGTGAATTCTAAATTTTATTTGTGACATAAAGAAACTGAAAGTGTGAAATTTATTAATTCCTGAAGTTTGTTTGAAAATTCAACACTCTATTGCGTTTTATTTTTATTACTGCTATTTCTCAACTCGTAGAATAACATATTGTGCATCAAATCGTCCAAGGATAGAACGACAGTAACGAGCAAAGGTATATAAAATCTTGATTTTGCCAAAATGGCGAGCAAAAAGCGAATACCTCGAACAAGGTTTACTCTAAATGAAAATTCCTTTCACTTTCCGCTTTTTAAACGGGAAGCCTCTTTTAACAATATTTGAAAGGTCCCGTTTGAAACGAAATACGAAAACTATGGCGCCTCGACATCACGAAACCGCCTCTTCAGAAAGACCATCAAACAAATTTCCGGTGCATCCTCGTGGAACAAAACTCTTGAAAAGCCACACAAATCTTGGAAATACTCTGCCTACATGAGCACCCAGTACTAGCATGTAGATACTAGGAAGTGAACGAGAGGAAACCATGCGCGGAAGATCAATACCAGGGGTAGTAGTGTGGTTTGTCCGTGAGTATGGTGGAATCAAGTGTTCCAAAAACAAAAGTCTAGGAGGCAAAATGAATCAAAACAGAAGAAGAAAGTCGGATAAAATTTGCGAGAAAGAAAGAATTGGTTATATAATGCCATCGGAGGAGATTTTTATGATTCTAATAGCTTGACAGGAAACTTTTGATGACCTGAGGATTGCTCGCACACAAAACACATTCATTCACGTTTAGGATTTGGTCACCAAACGAACAGTGATTTCAAAGAAACGACTGAAAATATTAAGTGCCTTTGGAGCGTATTAAATTATTCAACCCATAAATGACTGATATGTTGATCATTTTATGGTAGACAGAAACGATGAAAACTGGTATATGCGAGTGACACGTGCATCGTGGGTAATCAATAAGTAAGCACGACATAAGTTGAACAAGTTATACGTTATATCATACGGCTATTAAAGAAACAGAAATTCTTAATATTTAATACAAGAATACATTTGTCAATGCTGGATTAATTTAATTTAATACGTATATTCATATTAGAATAAATAATGCGTGGAACTTCAAAAAACAAGGCAAAAAATAAAATAAATCGATTTTAAAAACAGAGAATAATGAAATAATGAAAAAATTAGACGAGATAAAGTTGAAACAAACTGAAGAACGAAATGAAATAAATTGAATTCAATTCTCGGACAATTGGCTCGTGTCAGTGGCGAAGGAAAGCAAACGTGAAAGTGAAATAAAACGGACCAGTGGCAGACGTGACGAAGATCTCCTCGGTGGTGACCGGCTCTCCGGAACCTTCCTCGCAGTCCTCCTCGTCGTCGCACGACGGACGCTCCTGAATGTTCTCCTTGTGGTGCTTCGGCCTGAACGTCGTCGGCGACCTCGTCGGCGCCACGTACACCGGTGTTATTATGTCGTCTGTGAACAGACGAGAGAAGGGTTAGGTGATCATTGAAATTGCGTAGGATGGCATGCGATGCTTCGCATATCTCCCGTCTCTCCTCTCGCCCCTCACGCCACCCCATGATGATTTCCAGCACGTGGCTCGCATCATCTACATATGTAACGGGAAATGAAAATGAGGTTACCAGGGGAGAGGAAGGGACTGATAATTAGACAGAACACGCGCGTTTGATTGCAGCATTTTGTTTCCTAGGTATCAGATTCGTTTCAGCTTTCCGATTCGATTTCCACGGGAACGCGCGCGGCCGCTTTTCCATTTCCAGCGAAATCATTCTGGTTGGCTACGAACGATGATCGAATGAACGATGGATGACAGGCATTCATGCGCTTCGAGTGTGGGAATAATGATATCATTAACTGCGACGATCGTGGATATTGTTAGGGTAGTATCGATTCCACCGGCGAAGAGAATCGTTCTCTTTTTTTTTTTTTTGGTTTCTTTTTTCGAGAGCCAAGAGACGAATTGAATTTGATGCCTCGGGCGAGCAGGAAAATTGGCAGGTATAATTGATGTAATTCGTGCTATTGTTGAAGTAACTAGCGCGCGGATGCAGCGTGGATATAATGTTGGAAATAGTTGATAGATTTCCTGCTGCATAAATGACGTGAATATCGAACTGAACGTGTAATTTAAAATGCACAGGCTAACTGGTTTAGTATTTTGGTTCTGTTTCAATATTTTGGTTTTTCTTATATTTCTTATGTTCGTCATTTTAGAATTATTTCTTTATTATTTTCGCACAGATAGCAAGTATAATTTATTTCAAGAGCGATTAATTTAGTATATTTTGGTTTCATTCACTTTCACATTTCGATTTTCGGTGTTCCCGAAGTTGAACTTATTTATCATTTCAGACCGAAAATATAATTTAAATGTTTTGAACGTAGGAGGTGATTCATTTGGTTTTTTTTCATTCAATTTATCATTTAGATCTCTGTATATTTCTCTGGATTGATTTTATTCCATTATTATAGACACACACAGGTATTTTTATATATATAAAATTAAATATATTAGAGAAAATGTAAGTTAAAAATTGATTAAAGTATTTATACATCGTCAAAGTATGGAAAAACAACTTCCGTTTTCATGAAAATGTTTATTGACGCGCTTGGCTCTAAATTTAGACAAAGTGTGAAGGTAAGTTTCATAATTGCGTCTCTAAATAGGTTTAACCTTTTAAGCTTTGTTAGGTTAGCCATTAATTTCAAGTGGATTCGACCTCTTTCAAGAAAATAGACAGAGGAATGCCATTTTGTCAAGTGAGATTATTAGATTCTTGAGCAATAAGTACTTCTTCCGAGAGTAAAAATTTTACATTAACTGGAATCAGACAAAACGTGCTTTGATTTGCATTGAAAGTTATTTTCTATATCATAAAGTTTTTTTTTTAAATCATTTTTTCTGTATTATAAACTTTTATTTTAAAAAATATTATTTTATATATTTTTACCATTCTATATATTTCATAACGTTGCGCGTGTTTTTTTATAAAATTTATCATGCACCTACATATATTTTAATTCTTTCAAATTTGTCAGGAAGCACTCGAAAATCGGTCATATTAACAAATGAAAAAATACCGCGCAATTTATAGTGAAAAAAAAAAAAAAAACACAAAACCAACGTAGTTAGATATTTATATATAAACTGCAACTGTTTTATTTTCTGCTATCACATCACTATCGCAAAAGATTCCACTATTAAATTTATCTATTTTCACAATACACATACCAAAAAAAAAAAAAAAAAAAAAAAAAAAAAAAAANAAAAAAAAAAAAAAAAAAAAAAAAACAGAAAAAACGAAAGAAAGAAAGAAAAAGGAAAATACTTAAACAATACTTATTAAAGTATATCTTTCACATTTAGTATAATATTTCAATTATATAACATTTAAAATTTTCTTCTACTAAATTTACTTTTATACAAAATACAAAATATAATAAAAGAAAGAGAAAAATAAAGAGCAAAAGGAAGGAAAAAGAAACATCACTGTCTTGCTGTAGTGCAGCGATTTAAATCGTCCGCAACTATGGGCGTTTAATCGGTCAAGATGTCGCGCTTCTAAAATTACTTGGCGCCAGCTGTTTAGCTGCGTTTATAATCGTGGTGGACGATGCGGTGCGTCAACTTATTAAAGGGATCGTATTAATTCAGTTTTTAGTCAGCCGGAGAAGATTTCCGAGCCGGCTGCCAGAGAAAGCGAGGAGGTTGACAGCAAGGAGAAAGGAGGGGCGCCAGCCAGGGATCCTAAATATGCAAATGAATCGAAGATACAACCGGGCAAGCATGAAGACGAAAAGGTGGCATGCCATGCGATATGTGAACTCGATCGTGCGTGCGTGTTCTCCTCTGTCTTTTTCGTCTATAGATATTGTACTTCGCCGATTATTAATTTGTTAGAAAAGAAATTGATGAGTGAGTCTGAAATTGATGTTCGAATGACTGAAGAACAATAGCGACAATACAATGAGGCTACGTGTAGAATAGAATAAAGTTAGATCCATTAATTTTAAAGAAGAATAAAATTAACTATGTTAATTCATTTGAAATTGATCAAAAAAATGATTAGTCTATGTTTTAAACAATTAAGTACTAGATATATTTTGTTTGTTGTAAGTAAAAATGAGAATATAAAATACAATTCATATTGTTTGGCGTTTGTGCAATAATTTATAGAAAACTTCAGAGGAGTAATGTACATTTGTATCTAAGTATAGAAATTATAAATCATTACAACGAATATGTTGGCTCGTTTGCATATTTATAATTTTTAAAAAAATGTACAAAATATTTGAAAGAGAAAGGAACGAATAAACTTTATTTTCGAAATATCGTGATCCAAGATAATTGCAATTCACGTTCAATTAAGGTTTTTTAGTGATATAAAAAATTTGATGTACAATGATGGGATAACTGAGAATGGCAATTAAATTATTTAACAAAATTAACAAAATTATTTAACAAAATATTACGTTCGTGTACGATATAAAAAGGGAGCCTAATTGGGAGAAATTGCTTTTATTGCTTTTATTGTTTATTTTAAGATAAAAGGTCGTGCATTTTATATTTCAAATAATTTATTAATATTATGATATTTATTTAAACCAGAAACGATGAAATTGTATGACGACGAGAACACTGCGACTTTAAAGTAATTAATTCGTATAAATAATTGCAGCAATTTGGAAAATAAATTAATTTGCAATTATTATCGGTAAAACAGATGACGATATTCTTGTCGTTTCGATGTATTTTACTTTGATACAATTGATAAGCATAAATAATGTAATATTAAATACCGTGTTAATATCACATTAAGTAACAGAGATATTTCAATCAATTTTTCATTTATATTAAACAAATTACTCTTCATGGTTTAATTAATGAAAAAAAAAAAAATTTGGTAAGTGTCGCCAAAGGACGACAAGTGCCTTACCAATTTATGTGTGTTCCATCCTTGTCTAGGGGAGTGCTAAACGTCTCTCCTTTCATACTACACGTTAGTATCCTCTGTTCAGCGTTCTTATATAGGAACACACCAGAAAAATTGTACTAGCGAGAAAGTAGTTTTCCGCGAATAACTCGAAAACGACAAATCGAATGAAAAAGTTATAAGGACATATTTTACTCACCATGATATTATCTATCCAATAGTATGAGATTTAAGTTGATTTATCGTATGAAAAATTTAGTCATATTTATATGTATAGCAGTCTATATCTATAGGCATACCTATATATACACTATTCGGACATATATTGTAAAACTTTAGTAAATTTTACTGTATTATTTAGTACTGTATAAGATAAATAATAAATTTCTAATAAAATAATTAGAAAATTCCCAGAAGAACTGACAGTCACATTGAGATCAAAATTATTACACATGCGACAATTTGTGTGATTAGACTGTGTGTAATGATCGGTGTATTACGTTTATACATATTGAAGAAAGTTTCCATCGATGAGATTCTTTCGTTCACCATCACGCATTCGTTTACGCGTGACAAATAAATTTTTTCTTCTTTTTCACAAAATTGATGTAACGTGCACGTATGTATATAAAATATCGATACGTGCGAGATACGAAAGAGTTTAGGTGCGTAGAAGAAATTCCTCTGCGAGGAAAACGTGCAGAAGGAATTACTTACGCCCTTTCGGAATGTTACTTACACTTACCGGAACCAGGCTCATAGATTGGCGTGCATTCTTCGTCCTCGTCGTCAGCGGCGCAACCACTTCCGGCACCGGAAAATATGAGATCATCCATGACGCCCGGGAAACCGGATGCTGGCGTCTGCGGTTAAAAAAGGATATGCAAATTTATTGCTAATAGAAAGTATTTCAGTCGAGCGCTGTTGAAATAAAATTTAGTCATATTTATTTTGCTAGAAATTATTGATACCGTTTGCATTGACAATTATTGTTTTAATATATCTATTTATATTACTTAAAATATTTATTTATATATTTTAAGTAAATGTAATATACCCACATTCGAATCTATAGTACCGTTTAAAATATAAATAATTCTATGAAAATTAATTTCTACAGTTTTAAAAGTTGGATTTTGTTAAAATCCAGAGGTTTAAAATTCACTAAAGCTTTTACTAAAATTGAATTTTATTGAAACTACTTTTTATTACTTTTAGTTCAACGTTATGTTTGAATGTAGATTATAGAATATCCGTTAATAATACACTGTGAAATTTTCAAATTACCAGACATACACAAAGGATTTCTATGAATTACTAACTGGGTACTAAATTTCTATTATTCATTTCTATTCTGTACATGTATCTGCATTCTAATATTCATATTTAATATATATCACCTCATTATTATAAATAATATCATATTTAATATATAGCACCTCATTAAATAAACCCTTCATGAACATTTAATTAAGCGCAATATTTCGTAATAATTTACACGCTGAGGATCATTAATTATAATTATTACGTACTTAATAAGAGCGAATAATTTACACGAAGGTAATATATAGACAGAATTAATATAGTGTTGCTTTCAATAAAAGTTAAATTCCTATTACCGTAAGACTTAAGAATAAATATTAATGATCCATGAAATTTCATTTTAACAAATTTAAACAATTTATAATTTTCTTATTATTTTATTCTCCAAAGGTTAATATATATAATTTGTTTGATCAACAGCGATTTGAAACACCTTTTGCTTTAATTTTGATTACCTGTTGCATTCTTTGCAATGGAGCTGCACGATCCAGAAGACTTCCAGGTGGTAATAATTGAACATCTCCTCTAGTAGTAATTTTTTCATCCTTCGTTGCTGCGAGCTCTAAAATTCGTGCACCATTCACAACGAGACCGGCAATTATGCCTAAGAATGGCCTTTCTACTCTGCCTTTGTTGCGATTCCATCGGCCGCCTACTTGAATGGTCGATTGAGTATTGAACACGGACAACTGGCGACCTGCAAATAGCAGCAAATGTTGTCAAAGAATGCTTCTTTAGTCGACAATTTAATTGACTTGGGGTTGTGATTGTAATAGGTATTTCAAGATATAAAATAAAATTTTATAATACAATTTATAATTTATCATAAATAACAATTTCTATATCGATCTGTATGAAATTATATATCGATCCGAATCAGGGGTCAATTTATAGCGCATGCAATTTTTTTAAAATTATAGAATTCTTTCAAATGCTTGAACACTTTACACGAGATAATTATATTGTATTGACCTATTACTAGAAATTTTTAAACCTTTTAACCTTTTAAATTTATAGCAAATTTTAATATAAAAAATAATATTAGGCAACGTAACATTATATAAGGGATAGATAGAAAATATAATTATGTCAAAATCTCTTGATATAGAAATTCACCTCTAAATTGCACAATTCCTTCAAAACAACATATATTAAATTCTCTACCGTGATATTTTTCACTGCAACCTTGTCTTAATTGAGAACAGCTCAATATCTCGAAAAATACGAAAAATACGAAAAAACATTTTCAAACAAAAGTTATCGACTGTTGAGAATTGTATATTGTGCTGTCATTTATTTGATCTTTAGACGACTTCGAAACATCCTGCGATGGTCACATTGTTTTTAATTCTGCGTGTTTTGTTACACATGTTCTTGTACTATTTGCGAAACGCTACGAATTTATTGTATTTACGCAAACGCCTTTATCGAAATATAAGCATCTGATATGCTGCTGACATTAGCACTATTAGTAATTACGACACGTCAAATCCTGATAATGGTTTATCCAAGTACGTACGACCAAAATACTTCTTTGAGGGCGCTGGTCGTTGCCTTTGAAGGCGAAGAATCGAAAGAGTAATAATAATTTATTCTGTTTCGCTGGCTGACAAATGTTTTCGTTTGACCATTTATCAGGCGAACAGAAGCCACTAGGTCTGGCATGAGTGAACCATTGACCAATCCACTTGGCCAAGCGGCGTACCTTACAATTAGAAGGAGGCGAAAGCGAAGGTCCTACCTTCCACTGTCCTCAACATCTTCATATGTGTTTACTTCCAGCCCTTTCCCTTTGTAGGGTCTAAATTTGGTTGGTTTTGAGATCAGGGCAACATGATACGTGTAGAACTCTTTAGGGTTCGATTTGCCCTTCGTAAACGGCACGCGGTGCTTGTCAATGGCACGTTCGTGTAACAAGAATGAGATTTCTGATAGCGTAAGTTCAATTTGTATGCAACGTAGCATTTGGTGAATTCTGAATTGTTTACATTTTTCATTTCATATTTAATTTTTATTAATAAAATACTAGTATTTTATTATTATTAAAATATTGGTTAGTACATAATGCTTTAATCTCAATTGTACGAGAATTATTTAGAGTATCTATTATAGAAGTTCGGCAATTGAAATTACAGAATGTAATTATAGAAATCATTGTAAATTTGAGTGAAATGAAAACTGGCTTTACAATTACCTTTGTACAATATATGTATGAACTCATTTTTATAAATTTTCTAATTTCTATACTACTTTTAATAAAATATAGTTAGAAAGAAAATGATTTGGTAGTTTCAAACTTTGTAAAAATTATATAAAATCAATTAACGTATAATTAATTACCAATGTTTCTTAAATATTTAAAAAAATGACTAAAATATTCATTTAACCCAAAATCTAAATAAAATATAGTAGTATACTAAGGATTGGCCAATGTAAATTAAAAATTGCTCTCTTCAAAAATCTGAAAGATTACTCATCACAAAAGACATACTCAATACACCGTGGACATTTATGTAATTTTACATTTTTGTAAAGATTATTGAGAAAATGGAACCTATAGATAGAAGATGATTTTACCTACCAAATATGATAAGCAACACAACATTACACTATGAATATTTTGTACATTTTTGCGTGCATGCATCGTGTGTATTTTCGCGCCTCCAAATTATCCATAAGTGCATAAAAATTTCTTCATGTTAAATGAGAAATGAAAAACAATTATAAACAAGATTGGAATGCTGCAACTTCGGATGGAACTCAAAAAAAAAAAAAAAAAAAAAAAAAAAAAAAAAAAAAAATTTCATCCACGATAGAATTAAATAACGATTTAATTTCAAGAGTTAAACAACGACGATTTTTCTCGCGAGTGAAGCGAATTCATTCGTACGTTCATTTCGGGACATGTAATCTGTATATGTATATTAACAGGGGACATCGACCAGGCCAGCATAGTCGTTCCAGAGGTCCTTGTGCTCGTCAAAGCAAACCGTCGTGATAAAGTCGATCGGCAGAAGATCGATAATGCGGCTATTTTTTTATTAGGCGACTAGAAACCGAGGATGCGACCGGGATCGGATACGTTCGAGTTGCTTCGCCCACGTGACGTGCCATGGGCGAGTTAAATACCACCTTGTAATAGGAAAGCAACAAACTGAACGAGCTTTCTCGCCAGCGTGCTTGTCCAGCTGTAGGAAATGAAGCCATTATCGTCTGGCTATGGATAATAATTTTCGGCCGAGACGAGAAAAAATGAGCCTGGCTGACAGGCTTACCAGGCTTGCAGAATCTGCTAAGAGGATCGCTCTGGTACCGTTTTAGGCACCGCAAAGACGGCCACACTTACTATCTTTATTTATTGTTGACACCCGTGTCATGTTTCGTGGATGTCTTTTTTTTTTTAAATCATTTGATGACGTTTTAGTCAAGAATGAAATCCTTCTAATAAAAAAAAAAAAAAAAAAAGAACTAATAAAGTAAAAATTTTGTGGACCATTTTTGTTTGAATAAAACATTGGATCTTTGGTGTGTTTAAATAGGTTGCTATTTTTAGATGCAAGAAGTATGTGAATGAGTAAATTTAAAATATTGCTTATGGATGATAATACACGAGTTCGATTGATGTATAGGTACAGTGCCTAATTACAATCTTCTACCAAACAATCCACATCTTATTAAAATGTAGCTTTATTTATTGTTAAATAACCTTGAAATAAATTATACTTATTTACAGTAAATGAAGAAGCTTTCAGGACATGATATTTTGCTTTATATGCTGATGTGCATTATGATTAAGTAGATTCCAAGCTCTTTGTAGATCTTTCATGCGTGACGTCAATCGAGTTGACGTCATTCCCTATACCGGGAATTCATTTCCACTCGATATCAGATAAGACGCACGACATTGCATGACAGTTTATGCCTGCGAACGATGACTAACATTCTTACCTATATTTAGCATTCCAGTAAAACGTTTCTTTTTCTATCTTCTATTTCTCTTCCTCTAAAATATATACTACCTAGTATGAATAATCATCTTAAAACTAGTGTCATTATAGTGGTTAGTGGAAATGTTAAAAAATGGAAGTGTTCATAGTGGAAATGTTAAAAAATGTTTCGTGTAATATACATAATAAGTTATACCAATAGGTACGTGTATTTCATTTTATTATTTTTACACTACTTTATTATTTTATATTTTTATATTATTTTTATATTATTTATTATTTTATATTTCATTTTATTATTTTTACACTACTTTATTATTTTATATTTTTAAAATGTTTCTATGAGCGTTCGAACATTTTCACGAGTCTTATTATTTCATTGTTAGTGTTATGAACTAATTACACTATTATGAATGTTATTTATTATTATAATAATGTTATTACAACATAATACATTATTTTTATGTCATTTTATTATTTCATATTCGTAAAAAGTCTCTACAATTGCCTCAACACTTTCACGAATCACTAATGAAAGTGTCATATCTAATCCAAACTTATAAAGTTATATATCTCGAGTCACTCGCGCGGAACTCGACTCGACGAGTTCCACGACCCACTTTTTTCTGGTCATTTGACTGGCACTTGCCGACCAAGCATAGTGAGTCTATCAGCATAGTATAAAAATACAGCTGGTTGATCACAGACTTCTAAGTATATACTTATACGTACGCCAGAAGAAACGCACGTGCCAGCACGCGCTAAGTTACATATATGTTTATTTGGCTCGCTTACTGACTTCCTGTCAATGACAATGGAACGAGTAGGCGACCGAACGACAAATGCTTTCACGAAGAAGATAATCGTGTCACTCACATCGCATTCCAATTTGAAGAAGTCCAATAAACTGTATCACATTATTAGGAGAGCAGAAGGATCGTGGATGAGATCGGATTCCCTGCCCGACCCAATCGTAAGATTTTAGGCAACCAGGCCTCGTTCTTCGAATACTTGACCCCTCCGAATACTCATCGACCATTACGGAACGTCTCGTATATTTGAGTTCATTTTTTTATTAATTTGTTTAGATATCGTCTCTATAGCAAATCGTGGATATTTATGCATTTATAGGAAATTTGAAGACGTAGAAATGTAAAGAATTTTTATAACTATATATGTAATTTTTATAGGCTAATTAAATTTCTATAAATATATAAAATATTTTGTAGAAATTTATAGGATATTTAATGATAATATTCAATATATTTAGATAGGATATAATAGCATATAATATTTAGAATATTATTTATGGATATAGCATATTTTAAATAAAATATGTATTATAATATTTATACTTAAGCTAATTTTATAGCTAAGAGAGAGATAGTTTCTATATATGTAGTTCTTTAAATATATTTATAAAAATATAAAATTTTAAAAATATCCGTATTTTATTAATAAATTGTTTAAAATACTTTCTAACAATTAGTTTTTATCGTTAAGATGTATGTATTTTATTTGCAATATTCTGTTAACTAAAATTACTATATTTCATTTGAGTTCCATATTGCAAACTATAATTTATAGATTATAAATTATAAATTAGGTGACAATATGTTATAAATATTATTGCAAGTATAATTTGTTGTTAAAAAAATTTATACTGTTATAATTAGTCCTCTTCTTGATTATAACGAACCAACTAAAATAATTCCCAATTATTTTTACGTTTTTAACATATAATGTTCAT